TTTTGAGCACTCTTCATACATTAAGTATGTCCAATTCCTGATGTTGTTGAACAATTTCATTCTTGGCCTACTCCTGCCTCTTTGCCCTTCAATCATTCTCTCCAGTAATAGTTTTTGTAGACTTTGGGTCACAGTACATGCCCCAGATACCTCACTTTTCTTTTCCTTACTACTTCTAGTAAGGTTTTTTTCTGATTTGCAATTGACAGGATATCTTCATTTGTTCTTCTTGCCTTCCAAGGAACTCTCAGCATTCTTCGAATCATCCACATTTCAAATGCCTTTAATTTCTTTTCATTACAGTAGTACCTCGACTTACGCGAACCCGGAGTTACGCAATTTTCAAATCTCGTCGATTCGTCTTTTGTTTGAGCACCACACAACTTTTGATTACTCACTCCCCCACACTATTGTTCAGCTTACACATTCGGACATGTCACGTGGAATCGACACATAGCTACAATTTATTTTGTGTTATTTATTTCTGTGTTTGTTATATCTACAGAGACTTGAGAGACTCTATGTGGTGATTTCTTGTAACCGTGAACGAATTAAAAGACGAGATAAACTTAACGAGAACATTTATTAGCTTACATACATCCGACTTGGATTTTACACAAATTGTGAAATTATACCCCGACTTACGCGGTTATTGCTCGGTCCCACCTATTGCGTAAGTTCGGGGTATTACTGTATTTGCATTTAATGTTTAACTCTCTGCTCCGTAAAGCAGGGTCAACCAAAAATAACATTTTGCCAACCTAACTCTTGTTTGTATACTAATCTCCCTTGATGGCAATACTCGTTTCATGTTTGTAAATGCAGTCTTTGCAATTCCAATCCTTCTTCCAATTTCCTTTTCATTCCTTCCATCATCTATTGATATAATGATATGTCCTAGATAGACATAACTTTTGATCTGCTCCAGTTTACTGTTTTTGATTTTAACATTTATTTTTGAAGTTTCTTTCTCATTGGAAATTACCATAGTTTTGGTCTTTTTGCAGTTCAGGTTTAGTCTGAATTGAGTGCTCAATTTTGATATTTCCTCTATTAGAATCATTAGATCCCATTCATTTTCTGCTGTTAGCACAGTGTCATCAGCATATCTAAGATTATTGAAATTTCTGCCTCCTATGTTGACTCCATTTAGGTCTTTCATCTGACTGAAAATTCTTTTTGTGTAAAGATTGAACAAAATTGGAGACAGCACACAATCCTGCCTTTCTCCTTTTGGTATTGGGAATCTTTGTTAAAATTCTTTGCCAATCCTTATTTGCAGCTCTCTGTTCCCACTATAAATTGTCAAGTAATTTCCATCCATACCGTTTTCTAATAGACATTTAATAAGGTAATCATGTTCACATTATCAAATGCCTTTGTATAGTCTATAAAACATTGATAGCCTAAATATTTTCTGTTTTTCCTTATATCTTTCAATAATAGTTAGTTAGTTAGTTAATTCAGATTGAAAATACCTTCTCTTCTCTCTTGTTCCTTTATTCTCTTGAAAACCACTTTATGTTTCACTTATGCCTTAAGTCCATCTTCCTTTGTTTTTATTTAACAAGATATAAGTTAGAACCTTTGGTACATGACTAATTAGGCTTATGGTTCTAAAATCCTCACACTTATTTGCTTTTGGTTTTTTGGGGATTGGAACAAATATAGACTGTTTGAAGTCCTCAGGAAGGTATCCCAGCTCATAGATGTCGTTGCATAACTTAGCTAGGGCCTCTATCATCTAGAGCTTTGATTAGTGTTGCCACCTTTTCAAAAATCGCTGACCTGGACAGGAGGTCAGGTTTGTTTGAACAGAAGGTCCTGACACGTGCACAATGTCATTTTACAATGCAAAGAATAACGTGCATGCAAATCAGTTACAGTTTACAGATAATTTAGCTCTACTTGAGATGTGTATGATCATACATAAAAAAAAAAAAGGTTGACACGTTGGCGTAAACAGACTAGCATGGCAGAATTGCAAATGAGTTTCAGTGAGTGTGAGTTCTTTCGCCATTAAAATAGTATAAATTTGTAAAAATATTTTCAAGAACTTTGTTTTATCGTAATTTCACAATTTCTACAAAATTCCAGGACAAAATTAATAGTTCACCTGGATAGTGAGTCAATTCCCGGACTGTCCAGGTGAAAACCGGACGGGTAGTAACACTAGTTTTGATCTATTCTGGCTCTATATTGTCTGGGCCAGCAGCCTTACTGGTTTTAAGTTTATCAATGGCTTTTAGAACTTCCCATTTGAGTATTGGTGGGTGTTCTAACTCCATGGGAGATTCAATCTCCTCCCTGTCACCTTGGAATAATTCCTTTCCATATTCATACCACGTTTTCATTATTTCTTCTGTCTTCAAGATTATTCTCCCATTTATATCTCTTAAACCTTGTGCTTAAAAATTTTGATTTTTAAAAGTTACTTCTCTGATTTTTTCACGGAGTTCTTTTATTTTATTTTCTTTATCCAAACTTTCAATTTTTTCACATTCTTTGTTAAGCCACTCTTCTTTAACCTTTGTACACACTCTTTTTATAGATCTTGTTAAAATTTTTATATCCTGGTTTATTTTTCAAACTTTTCCTATTCTCCATCATATTTAGAATTTTATCAGTCAGCCAAGGTTTGCTAATTTTCCTAATGTATTCTGGGATGTTATTAGCAGCAGCTCTACTTATACATTCCTTAAAGGCATTCCATGCTTCATTGATATCCTCTATTGATTGATTATATTCTTTATTTATTTTATTGTCATTGATTTCCCTGTTAAATTTGTCATTAAATTTTACTTTTATGTTCTTTTCCTTTAATATTGCTGAATTTAACTTCTTTGATACTGACTTTTGCTTACACGTTTTTAGTTTAATTTTTGCTTTCACTACAACTGGATTATGATTGGAATTAATATCTGCTCCAGGAAACGACTTGGCTTGTTTTATAATATTTCTGAATCTTTCCTTAATCAAAATGAAGTCTATTTGATTTCTGCATATGTCATCTGGACCATGTATACACTCTTCTTGCTGGATGTTTAAACAGGGTATTGGTGATTATCAACTTATTTTCCTCACAAAATTGAATGATTCTATCCCTACTTTTATTTTTCTTACCAAGCCCATATTGGCCCATGCATTCTGATATCTTCTCATTGCCCACTTTTGCGTTAAAATCACCCATAACTATGATTATATCATTTGATTTTGCCATTTCCATCAATTCCTTCAAACCTTCATAGAATATTTCAACATCATCTTCCTCATGTCCAGTTGTGGATGCATAAACCTGTATTAGGAAGATGTCAAAAGGTTGAGCAGCTATCTTTACTGCAATAATTCTCTCGTTGACTGCAGGGAAGCCTTTTATTGATCTTGCTATACTATTCATTATGATAGCTACTCCATTTACGTATGCCTCTGCTTCTGAGCACATCATTGAATATTCATTCTTGTTTTAGCCTTCCTGATTCTGTCCATCTTTTTTCACAAATACCTACAACATCAAGCCACATTGGCTTTATTTCTTGAATTAGATTATCAAGTTTTCCCTATTTATACAGTGTTCTAACATTCCAAGTTCTTATGTTAAGGAGTACTGTACATTCCTGGTCTTCAGTTTGGGTATTTCCGATGTTGTCTTCCCAGGAGGGGTTAAGATGGCCTCTTCATATTCTCTAATATTAGAGTCAAACTTAATATTCTCAGGACCCGACTCCTCTTCCCTGTAGTATTCATTAGAGACACAGTTTGCAGGGGGCTCAACCTTGTCCCTATAACTCATTCTTTTAGTGGTAGCAGTTCTTCCATGGTGGAGGGTATCCAATCTCTTCCATTGGTGACTGGCCACATCTCACTTTGGATGCCAAGAATGTTCTCTTAATATGACACATACTTTACTGTCATCCCCATTACGTCATTGATCTTTGATAGTACAGTAGAGCCTCGATTAACCGACCATCCTAGTCGACAAATTTCAAATGTCCGCTAGTGATGTGGCGCTACAATATTTGCCTATGTATTGGCTACTTTAACATTATTTTTACGTGTTTTAGCTGGCAACACTGGCTCGACCACAAAAGGGAGCCAGTATTTAAACGAGGCTTAATTTTCTAATTTTTAACGATACAATAGCGACGATTTTAAAAAATTTTTGTTAGGCTTAACATCGATGAAAATTCAACGCGAAGTAGGTTAATAGCGATATACTAATATACTAATTACATGGAATATAATAATATAGTCTACTACACTAATAATGGATTTTTTCATACTTTTCGGTTATCCGACTTTTCAATTATCCGACCAACCTGAGTCCCCAATTGAGTCGGATAATCGAGGCTCTACTGTAGATTCTTCTGCCACGCTGGCCATTCCAGACTTTGTGCACTATAGAGTGGCATACCCTAACTACCAGTAGCGTATTACACTACTGATACTCTCACTTAGTCTAGCCCACCAGCTGAGGCAGTTTCCCAGGGTGTGCCTGTTGGCATGGTACTTGGAGACATAAATGAGAGTTGGATCCTCATGGGGAACAGTCTACAGTGTCCACTATTTCAGTACGGCTGACACTTTCAAAAGTTACTACCCCATACACTTATTTGTGGTATTAGTCTGTCTTAAATACCTGACCACCTGAGTGCCCCCATTGTAAGCCTGGCCAAACACATTATGAATATGATTAAAAAGATCCTCTTATTTTATTTTTTACTCTCTTCACAGGGTGAAAGAGTCAAAAATAATAGAATAAACAACAATTTGTTAGTTGCAGCATTATTTAAACATGAGTTTCTAATACAATATCTCTAATATGTATAATATAATCAATACTCTTAAATTTAAGTCATAGATATGTCGTTTACAAGCATTATATCTAATTCTAATTCATTTTTTAAAGTATATCTATAGGTGAATTATATTTGAAATATTTTGTTTATATTATTATAATTTAAAAGTGTCACTTATTCATAATTTTAAAAATTTATTTCTAGATGATTACCACACTCAAAACAATTGTGTTTGTTGTTCTAAGTATTGCTCTTTTTCATGTGAGTGCAATTTTATTGGGTGCACCTGTATTGGAGTAAGTAACTTTTTGTTTTTGTTATCTAAGTAAAAATGTCATGAATTACTTAAGTTTTTAGTTTGTTTTTTCACTTTTCAGAAATTACTACTTATACTTATCTATTTTTGATACTTTTTATCATTCACAGTAAATTTTATGAAGATGAATCTGAAAACTAAGATTTTTATTTTTAGGAAAAAATATAGCTAAAGTAAGCCATGTAAAATATAGCTAAAATTATCCAAAAAAAATCAGGAATTACAAATTTAGGATTTAATTCCAATTAATTTTGTTTCATAATTTTGGGCTTTAATATGATAATTACATCTTACAAGAAAAATGAGTATAAATTTAAAATACAGACTTCTCATTAGGGAAATTATCTACACTTTTCATGTATTCTATTAGAGTTATATTATTTAATTTATATATATTATATTTTATTTGGAATTGATTTTACATCTGAAATAATCATAAATATGGTAGTTTATTTTTGCATTATTTTCTTTACACTGAGTGAATAATTAAAACTTTGATCAATTAGAATATGATAATTTTACTTGGCTAATTTAATGTTTCTTAATCCTTATGAATAAGATCATCATTTTTATAGAAAAAAATTGCATATCGAAATTGAGTAAAATTAATATTTCACTGACTTGAATAAAAGTATTCCTATATATCTTGATATTTTTTACATCATTTTATGTTGTTTATCTGAAATAAATATTTTTATGAATGAGATTGATCTTTCATTTTTATGCTATTCAAACAAGTTGACATCAAGAAACATTTCCAAACTCCATTAATCTTGGTACCATAAATATCTCAAAATGTATGAATATACTGTTTGATTAAGGCAACTGTAAATATATTAATATAATAAATATAAGTNTCCAAACTCCATTAATCTTGGTACCATAAATATCTCAAAATGTATGAATATACTGTTTGATTAAGGCAACTGTAAATATATTAATATAATAAATATAAGTGTAATTATAGATAAAATATAAAAGCATATTAAATATTAAAATAATAATGAATATTTTACCACAATATTATTATAATTTATCTTAAACATATAGGCTGAAACTATGGACTTTCATCACATACAATACTGTATAAAGTTTTCTGTAGACTTCATATATCAATACAATCTACCTTAGAATAAACTGGAATCACTATGTGTCAAGTTTTATTGTGTCATGTCATATGCATATAATTTGTTGTTTATTGAATTTTTTACTTTACTTCATGTTATTGCTTTTCAAATAAAATAACATTCAGAAAATTAGCTAAGTTATTTAATTTATTTTATTTTAAAATTATTTATCATATTTAAAAATTTTAAATGTGATCTTTATAGACATCCTATGGAGTAGGTTTTCAAATATTTATTTTAAACTTTAAATGTAACGAATATTATATTCTATTCCAATGATATAAAATGTGAAAATGGTCAAAATTAGACTGAAAGTACTCATTCAACTCATTCGTATTAACGTTTTATGATTTATTACAAAGCATGGGTTTTATATACTGGAATTTTTCCAGTCATGTTAGGTTCTGTTATTTTTAAAAAAACTGCTATTGGAGTACAGTTCTCCCTTAATAGTCCGACAGGTATGGGACCAAAGGGGTGTTGGATTACCGAAAATAATTACATATTTTGCATTGTTTTGCTAGCAGTTTAAAAGTGTCACTTATTCATAATTTTAAAAATNTTCCCTACTCCAACTGTTTGAACAGAACTGCTCACAGAAAACACACAAAATGTGTGTCATCGTGTAAAAATTGGATGGAGAGATTCACATCGCGACATGTTTCTGTGCAAACAGACATGTAACGGGGATGGGTACCTTGACGGGAGGTGTGTCAAACTACTGACCATGTCGAATTAAAAAATGTCAGACTATCAAGGGAGAGCTGTAATTCTATTTAAGTTTACTTCATAAAATTTTATTATAATAGCTTTTTAATTAAAATAAATGAAGGAATTAAATAAAAAAATTAATAAACATTAATATAATAAATGTAAATAAGATTGATTAAAAATAAAATATACAGTACACTCATTTAAATATAAAATCAAATAATTTGTAGAATTTTATCAGATGGCAATTAAGTTTAAAAATTAAATTGAAGACAAAAGTCTGTTCAAAAAGTAATCACCATTTATTTTCATTGTTCTGGAATACAAACTTTTGATGTGTACAAGGAAAGCTCAGTTTTCCAGAACATTGAAAATAAACGATGATTCCTTTTTCAACAGATTTTGTCTCAATTTAATTTTTAAATATAAATTATTTAAATGAATTCTATACAATTCTTCGTAATTTCAATTAAAAATAAAAATCCTTTTGACCATAAAAGAAAATATACTTTATCACTTCATTTTTGATTCAAACATTCTATCTAAAAAGATTTGTTTATTGTCGTCTGAAAAAATTGTTAAAAGAGAAGAAAGATCTTACATGGGCTACTACTGCGGTCAAAGATTAAAAAATTGCAGTTTTGAACTTTGAGTCCAGTAGCATCTAATGCAAGTTAGAATGGAATTATCAATAATTCATTTTCCATTTAATATAAATTTTTTTATCCTTGCATACATAATTTTATAAGGTTGATTTGCTGTAAAAATCTTAGCTAATTGGGCAAAAAACATGTCATTAAATTTTTAACAAATATTAACAAAATAATTAATTTCCTTCATTTTCTAATAGCAAATTTTATTTTACAAGTGATTTATTTAAAAAAATTTTTTTTATATTTTATTTTGTTATATTGTTTTTGTTTCTTTAACAGTATCTAATTGCTGTTTAACTTAATTATTATTATTTTTTTTATCTGTAAACAAGATAAAAAAAAAAAAGATTTTATTATATTATCAGATTATATTTTATAAACAAATATTTAAAAATTGTTTTATTTATGAAACTAAGCATACAACTTAACAATTATTTTAGTAACCATTTTATTAGCTACAATTTAATTATGTATGTATATATTTTTATATTTAATTATTAGCAGTTTATAAAAAAAATTTAGATTTGTCTAGAATAAAATAGATAAATAAAAGTGTCAGCATGAATGTGGTTACTATAAAGTCATGTATAAACTGTGTTATCTTCATTTTTTTCAGATCCTTCAGATCTACTTTATTCTTTAGTATTTTAATGACCATCTTAACTTTTACTCCAAGTATTTTGTTAGATGGTAGTATGTTGCCTGTTCTGTTGAAAATCTTTAGCGAAGGAAGGTTAGTATGTAGTTAGTGAGTAGTACTGTACATAGTTTGTGTAATTATATATATAGTATGAGCACGAAGCATGTTTATATCATAGAATTTTAGTAACTGTATAGTAGTGTGTTGTTTATTTTTGATTTTTTGACGTAAAATAGTTTACTTCAGAAATAATATCAAGTGTCGAAAAATACATAAATGTTATAAATTAACATATTAAAAAACTGAGCTGTTTGACTGTCATCTTCAGGTATAAAATGACACCGGAAGTTGACATGCACGAACCCGTCATCGGCACAATCATCGGAGCCTGGTGCGGCGCCTTCGTCATCCCTCTAGACTGGGATCGTCCCTGGCAAGAATGGCCCATACCTTGCAGCGTGGGTGCTGTTCTCGGTTGCTCCGTTGGTCACTTAATTCTGGCCGGACTGACCATGCAAAAGATCGTCTGAAAATATGTACATTTTATTTTGATTTGTGACGCTCATTAGTATAGCGCAACAATTGATATACTTACTGTCTGCCGATATTTGAAAAGTGCATTTGCCCAGTGATTTTTGTTCATTTTCCGTGCTAAAAGAAAATTAATGAAAATAATAACAATGTGGAACCTAATTTAATTTATTTAAAAATAATATCCAAGACAAATGTATGTATGTATGGTGTTATAATAAACTCGAAACAACTTTTTCTTTGACAAATTTTCGTATTTCAATATAAATGATCAAATATTTGTTACAAAGTAACATTATTATATCAAATATCAATAATAATAAATAATAACAAGGAAATAAATTATTCATAATGCTTATAAATTTTCAATATATAAAAAAAAAAAAAGAAATCAACACCGAGACGACGATATTCATTAACACTTCCAAGGTACTTTAATTACACGCGCCTCACGCGTGAATCGTTTAAATATACTACCCTTATTTTTTCTCCTAGTTGAATTTTTATCTGGTAGATGGCGCCTTCGTGGGGTATTTCTAAAGTAGTGTAATAATTATTAGAATTAATGCAAGCGACAATTAGATATTGAAACAAAATGAATTATCCCGGTTAGCCACTAAAGTATGAAAGAAAAGTATTTGAATTTATTAAGAGTAATTAAAGGGATAATTGGGTTAATATGTTTAATATTTAACAGTTCCACATCGCCACGGATAATAAGTTTGTTTATTGGCTTCGACGTCTTTCATCCCACAAAACAAATGCCTTCGTAGTAGATTTTTAATCTTTTAATTATCATTTTAAACATCAGTAAGGTATAGGCCTATAAAGTATTATAGTTTTGTTTTTTGACTCATGAATAGTCACACGGTTTAGTAGCCTCCGCTCCGACCGTGGCGAAACGTGATCCTGCCCTAACTATTAAAACGACATTAAATTGAATTATTTTCTTAGATTTCCATCTAAGAATTACATTTCTTCTAATATTTCCCTCGAACTAGTTTAACGCGCTGCATAGAATAACTTACGCTTAGGTTTAACTTATCTAATCCAGCGTTGTGTGCTTCTGTGATTTTCTGACGGCATAACTACCTTACCTTGGATTGTATAGTTCTAAATTATTTTAATAAATCTTGTATATATTTTAGAAAATGAACCATCTTTCTCACAAATTCTATAAACCGTTTGTATAATGTTTTAAAAATTAAATATTGTTACCTTCCGCTGTGTTTATCAGTCAGGCCTATAGTTTCTCTGCTGATAGCTGCGATTTAACAAAAAAAAAAAAATATGTTTAACGTAACGAAAAAAATGTATACTCAAGTTAATAAATTTAAATATATTTTCTTTAAATGGCATAAATGCATCTTTCCGCTATAGATTTTACGTTTAAAATATAAATTATCAGTCGCGTAATCTAAAATACGGATTTTCCTTCATCTTTACTAGCATCTTAGTATCCTATAAGACCATCGAGCGACGGCCTAATTCGTAAACGGACCTTAAATAAGATACGCATCAGGCCTACAAGTTGTTACAAACTGAAGAGTAAAGACAAAATTTATAGGCCTACATTACTACACTTGCTTTATCTAAAGCTAATACGAAATTGCTAAAGTTAAGGTTTTAATGTGTTTCCTTGTATGAGTTTCTTTTTTTTTTAAATACAAGTTTATTATTTAAAATGCAACAACACATTACACACTATATTCGGACAAGCGACAACACGACCAGATGATACCAACGAAGATAATTACAGTATATAGGTAGATAATATGTATACAGAAAACGTAAAAGTCCACCTTCTCCGCATCTATACTCTTCAGGATCTATCACCTGGACATCAAACCATCAGTCACTATACAGTTCTCACACAATTTCGCAACTATAAGAACATGACTACTTTCGGAAATACACTAGATTTGAGAATAGGATGAGTTTACGGGTCCAAAATTTCCCGTCTCTTTTTTTCACTTTATGTATCTTGCTCTTTTTTGCTTTTTATGTTTGATACTGTAACATAGGAGCTGCTGATAGATTCGGATGAGGTGCGGCATTCATACGCAGTGCAGGAAAACCTTTGTTGTACCAGTCCTCTTCGGTATCCTGTCGCATAGCTGCCATGTTTGGTGTAGGGTGACCCATAGAGAAATGCTGAGTAGCCATGGGTGGATAAGTAGATGTGGTCATGGGCTGATAGCGTGCTGCTGCAACCGAATTGATGGCGTTCGGCGGTGGGTACTGATAAGCACGCGATGTTGCGGTGGCCGTTGGATATATGTTCCTCATCATTCCGTTGCAAGTTGGCAACACTGACGGTGCAGCTAGGGCCTTCTGTAGCTGTTTTTCCTGTTTGCGATATTTTGCTCGACGATTTTGGAACCAAACCTGCAAAAATTATACATTTGAAAATCTAAAAATTGATAAAAGACGCGAAAAAGAATCGATAGTTCGGTAAAGGAAGAATAACGGAATATTAATTCTTTGAATGATTTATATTAATGATTCTCGTTTGATCAACCAACCGTCCTCTTATTGACATTAACCTGCCTACTTTTCCTTTTGATAATTTACAGTTAAAAATACTTTCTTCTATAATCAAGCGAATTAAAATTCGAATTCGAAGTCGGTCCGTTTGTCATTTACTTCCTTAAAAATATTCCTGATGTAAAACTTCCGAGTTACATTTCCTTATGTAATAATTAACTTTAATTGTAATTAAATTGAAAACATTCATTAAAATCCCAAAGATATATCGGCAAATTGAATAGTTTTATCGGACCTTCTGTGGCTGTCAACTTAGTGCATTAGGCCTACAATGTGTAGTAGGCCTGTTAATGAAAAAAGGAATACGTATTACTGTTTTTTTTGTTAAAGTAATGTTACGTAAAAGGTATTAATGAATGCTTTTCGGCCTTGTTAAATAAATAAAAGGCCTGGTATTATTTACTTAATAAAAAGAAATGGCCATTTTGACCGAACGCAATTTAAGTGAAAGAAAAAAAAAGTAAAAACGGGAAAAACGCAATTTATACTGCTACAGGTATTATATAAATCGTAAAAGCAAAACTTTATTGGGATTTTATCAAATTGAGAGTTTGTTTTCAAATCTCCGAGTTGCGATTTTATGGTTTTGATTTATCGAATAAAGCTCGACTTTATTCTTTTTCTCTTCTTTTTTTGATATTCTTATAGTAGGTTTGGATGAAACATTTTCTCAAGAGATGTTTTTATATCGAAGAATCAATAAATTTCACTGTATTTTTCTTATTAACATTAAAGATATATAATCATGCTTTTCTTTTTAATTAATTTTGCACAGGTGTAACTTCCAAAGTATATTAAATATAAGGCGCTTCTTGTGAAATGGCTCCTGTTTCTTTTTAGTAAGCTTATATCGAAACGTGTCTTTTCTTGCGAGCGGATTCTAAACTTACACACAATTTTACAACAATTTTTTGGCTGTAATTATTTCAGAACTTAATCTTTACGTAAAAGGATACTTTAAAATTGTTATAGTCTTATTCTGTTCAATAATGGAGATTTTTATAAGAGTAATCGTAAACATTTTTGCGAGTTGTCCGGTTGAAGTTTATTAATATATTATTTTATTAAATTTATGCACGATATTGTTTTATTCAAAGAATAGTCAAGATACAAACTTCATTTATCTCTACGAGACTACGGATAATCTAATTGTTTCACCATAACACAGTTCAATCGGACATAAAACATAATCATGCTGACGTCATGAGTTTTCTATAATAAAACGTCACTAAACAGAAGTTTAGATAGAACGTACGAAAGGTAGAATAATCGAATCATTATAAAGACAAAAAAAGCTCATTATCTGCTACCGAAGTTAATGATATTCGTGAAATGTTTTTCAAACAAATAATATTTGACTGATTTTATTCCGGTTATTCGTGACGAATATTGAATATTTTATGCATTCAGTATAAAAAAAGAGAGCTTTAAAAGATTTTTGACAGTTTCATTGGTTTGTCAAGTTCATTTCTGGTTGTTAACATTCAATGGACAAAATGTAGTCAAATAGCGTTGAAAAATGTGTTTAGTATTTAAAAAAAGTCACTGCTGGAAATCATTTTGTTTGAAATTGCAAATTAGTTTCAAATCAGAAGGAAGGAAAATAGCATTTTCTGCATGTTTGTTTTTACTTGAAGCCGAACGTGTTTTAAACTGGCTTTGTATGGCACATCCTTAATGTTTCATTATATGAAAATAGCTGATTAAATATAACTTTTACTTCTAAACACATAAGAAAACTTTGTTACTTATGTATCAGATATTTGCTTTTATTTTTTAAATTTATTCTTTAAGATCACGCCGTCGATGAATTAAGTATGTAGATAATAATATTAAAAGTAATAAATTATTAAAGACATGTTTAAAAACGAGAACGTCTTCTTTAATAATTCGGACTAGTTTCATGCTATTTTCTGTTAGGAATACAATTTTATAAAATCATAAAAACTTTTATATTATTCGTCAGCATAAAACTGTCGAGTTTTCTCAATGCAACTCATCACTATTCAGCATAAATTACAGATCCGTAAGTTGAGAAATTCGATATTCATCACGATTTTGTAAAGAGGGGAAAGGGGGTTTTAAAAAGGCATCAGTATTCGATATATCGATTGATAGCAAATTTTCAAGTGCATTTCAGTAGGATTTCATTGGAGTAAAGTCGAATCTGACATTAACGAACATTTAAAACTACAGAAAGAAAGCGAAGGAGGGGAAAAAAAGAAAAGCTTTTTCCATCGGTGTGTCAGCTAAGTTACAAAATCAATAGTAAGTAGTGAAGTATCTTTCAGACAGCAGAGAATGGAAGGAAAGAGAGGGGAGAGGGGGATCCACACACACAGAAGCTAGTCCAGACACATACCACGTACTTCTTTGGCTACATCTGTAGCGGGGCAGCGATGCAACATTAAGCAGGCGGCTAGGATACAAGGCACGACTTCAAATGATGATTGACAGTTGGAGCGAGCAGAGCCGCGGGCGGTCTTCGTCCCTGCAGAACAGGCAGAACGCTGTGTGCCGTCAAATTGAATTTGCAACTCGGACTCGTAGAGTAATGGACTTGAAGACGCTCACATCGCACGGACGAAAAAGCCTCCACCCCTCTCTTCACCACTCTGCAATCAGTGGATGTGCAATGACGGGCTCTTTTGGATTCTCTGGTAAAACTGGAAGGATTTGATTTGGCTCGGTAAAGAAGGTTTTGGTAAAGTTCTCCCGGAGAAATTACTTTAGTTTCATTGTCGATGAAGAAATAAGATTAGAATGGCGATCGTCTACTCGTTAAGGAGAAGCTTGCTTTGTTGATAAAGCAGGAATTGTAAAAGAGATGCTCTTTTGATTGAGATGCAGTTTGGCAAAAATAATCATACTTTACTAATAAATATATCCCGTGTTGATTTTTTTAATCTGCATATTCTACTTTCCTACTTTTGTTGTCGCGTCGGAATGTGATTTTATAAATTGATTTTAGATCACAAGTAGTTTTATATAAACTTATTCTTTATAATGTGTTTATGTATTGAGTTCGCTATTATTATTTTATTAACAAATAAACCTTCCGTTACAAATAACAAGAATTCTAATACGCAATTCATTGTAAAACACTGGTGTATTTAATAAAGTTAACAAATTTTACTAAGAAGGACTATTTAAAGTTTTTAACTTTATACTTTTATGGTAAATATTTTCAAACCTATATATTTTAATATCATTCTAGAAATGAATACTCGTAGACTGTTAATGTAACCTATATGCTTATATAAATAAATATATGAATATAATCGCGTATTAATACGAATAAAATTATATTCTTGCGTAAATTTATGAATTTCGAAGTAAATAGACCTACGAAAGATTAATGATCCTTTAAAAGCGTTTATCCTAATTAAAGTTTTTACCAACAACGTGGAATAATAGGATAGTAAAAGTAGAATAGGATAAATAAAGAAAAAGAAAGGATGTAGTAATTGGCCTGTTGTTCAGGATTTTTTAATCCAACTTCCAATGTTTATTTCCCAAAAAATCCAATAGAATTATAAAAGTAAATTCCAACTGAAAATTTTCCGAAGTAAAATAAAAAAGAACACAACATTGTAAAAATTGGATTATTTTTCAACTCCGCAGATAACAACTTCAAAAAACAAATCTTTAAATTTTGAAACGAAGAAATACGTAATTCAAACAGACAACAAAACGATTGAAATGACGGATAAAGTCCAAATGTAAGATTAAGGATTCTAAAAACGTTTTTAAAAATTCCGTTTTCCTCTTTTATAGAGTTAGTAGATCTAACTTTTACAAAATTTATTTATCGTAAATATTTAAATATGGCGGACAGTCTTTTTTTTCCCCTCTGCTTTTGTCACTTTCGTCTAACATGCGAATTAAAGAAAAACAGATTCAATTTATACGCGGAATGTTAAAAAAAAATGGATAATGTTTCTGTTAATAAACTTAAGTGGTGTAAAATAGATGTAATTATACAATTTAAATTTTATTAACACTGATCTATTTAATTAAGTTTATCAATCAACCTTGATTTTTTCTACAGGTTCGATAATTAAATAAGATTTGTCGGCCATTTTCCTTCCACAAAAACAAATTGTGATGTTTTCTGTGTTATTGTATTTTACGTACGATTGAGAATTTTTTTTAACTATATGTTAAAAATAAAAAAATACCCGAAGGAAGCGGAAAACGATACACGACTTAAAACGTTAGTCAAGAATGATATAAAATTCGATAATAAAGACTTGTCCAAGTGGTTTCATTATAATTAAATGAATTAATATAACCAGCACTAGGCATTAATGTACTGTATAGTACCTTATAAAGGTTTATTATAATAAACATAAATATGTTGTCATATTTATGTATAACTTATATATGAATATATAACTAGATATTTATATTTACCAACAATGATTACCAATATATCAGTATAGATATATATCTTGACAGAGTGATGTGGATTAATACAGACGCGTTAAGAGACACGTAGGCCTAAATCTCTTTTGATAGAAGCAGCGGAAACGAATTTAAATATTCTATGTTTCGAATTTAACAAATTAATAGATCTATAGCTTATTAGTAATCAAAACATAACATTTATGAAAAATTTTAAACTTTTAATTAGACTTACACGGTAAAAGATGCACTTCGAGGCCTACAATACGCTTTTCCAGTATCTATTTAAGCGATACTTTCGGAAGAATGATTTTAAACATTTCACAAAGAATTTAACGAATTCATTTCACAAGCCTTCAAATTAAATCATATTCTTGTATATTAATTACATTTGAAGTGTGAATTCGTATCAAGTATTAACTCTCCGTTAAATCTCACAAATGGCGACACTATCGGTCGGAAGAAGTGCTTTTAGTCTATGATCACTTATATCTACTCTTTTTTCCGAAGTTTTAAATTCGTCAAATGTTCTAAATTACAGAAATATTTTTTTAAAAAAATCAACCAGTAAAACAAAATCATTCTTTTCCCGTCTTGCATAAATTTAGAGTCGCGAAGGTAGACTGTACCGCAATCCGTAAATAAGACAAATATGAAAAATATGATTAGTAGGCCTAAAGCTAAACTATTAAGTAATTAAAAGCTAAATTAAATGATATACTAACAACATTGGCTATTTTTATCAAAACTAATGTTCAAGTTTTCGTTAGAGGAGCTCGAAAATGAATTTTAAGAAAAGCTAACTTTCTAATCCTAAAATAATCAGAAACAAACTTAATTAAAATCCTTATGTGCGCAAGCCTAATTATGATTAACCGTGATCAAAATTGAACATAATGATAAATTAATTTCTTTAAACACTCCGTTTATTTAATCATGATTCGATAACGAGCGCAATTGTTTCCCTGACAGAATTAATTCCGGAAGTTTTACACTTAAGAAAATACACACTGAAGACAAAATTCTACTAAATGTTCTGTAAAACTTTATAAATAAAGTAAAAATTTTAAATTAACAAATTAATAGGACGTCCGATTTTATCATTTTTATAATAATATTTGTATTTTCTCGACATTTCTATTATTATTATTGGTTAGAAGAAAGAATTGTTTCGGATTCTGTAGTAAACAAAGCTAGAACGTAAGTCTGGGAAAAAACATTAAGTTTTACGTATACAAGGCACAAAATATAATTTAGATATCTCAGAATTTATAAAACCAACACTATAAATATCTTTTGAGCGCAAAATTCGGTTCTTTATAAATGCATTTTTTTAAAAATGCGTTCGTAAATGACGCATTTTGTTATTAGAATCTACTTTTTAATACTTGAATTAGAAATTCGGAGTATTTTAGAGTACCGCGTCACAGGCCTTAACATTAAATGTAAGAAATGGGCTAAATGAAATGTATGTTATTTTAAAGAAGAAAATTTAAAAAATTCGGAATCTGACAAGCGAAAAGATACGTTAATATTAGGCTAAATATATTCTTTGCGATCCTTTTTATTGTCCAATCGCATACGATTGTTAAGTTAAATAAGTTTTAATATGTGTAAAACGAAGGATAGTAACGTTATTAATAGTAAAATCGCTATATCAGTTGTATTTATTAAAGAAGAAATATAGTTTATAAAAAGGAAACTGTGTAAGATATCGGATAAATTCGTTCGTTCAATCAAATTTAAGAGAACGCGATTTTAAATGAGATGATAATTCGATAATTGTGTTTTCATCCGCAAGATATATTAAAACAAATCGGGACAAAACAATCAAGGTCGTCGGGGGAGAAACAGTAATATTAATAATTTTATCTCAATTCGATAATTATCCATCCGACAATTAATAAAATTAAATTTTCCAAAAGGTATTTAGGATGGAATGAATCTGTCTTCACACATTTGTAAGTAACTTATATGTATGTATGTATAAAAATAGAGATATTTTACGAGAGAAAAAAGGTTGACTTTGTCCCTTTGCAAATATGGCGTCGGATCGCGACAGATGTTAACAATGGCCACCAGAGTGCGCTGATGGAGAAGAAAATCACTTCTCTACATTTCAGTCACCGGGGCAGAAATATTAAAGAGTCGTTGATTGCATTTAAGTTCATCGGCCTTCACTAACTTTATAATAAAATCTGTCTTTGTAGTTAGCTCGATCAAGAAAAGAAATTCCCTATGTGATTCCATTCTATGAATGATGAGGGAAAATCATAAAAGGAGACAGAGATCGTCGGTTCCGTATTTACAAGCAACCGGCGATGATAATATTAAAGAAATAATTGTAAAATTTATTTTATACTACACATATACGTTGTAGATTGAAGACAGACTGTAGAGGGATATTATGATTATTTTATAGTATTTTCAGAAATGAAATAGTGGCCTACATTTTGTGTTTGGTATAGAGTTACAGACAGAAAACACCGTTTCTAGTCCGTAAATATATAAAATGCAATTTAATTTAATAGACTCTGCTTAAAATTTAATTAGGCCTTTAATATTTAAAGCGCGTGTAAAAAATTCCGATTAAAATATTTTAACTCATAAATTAATTTATGTGTTTTTAAAATTTTCTATCTATTAGAAATGATAATATTTTAAATTAATAAAATTAATTATGAACATTTATTTTTGAAATAAATTTCTAATTCTGAAACGAAGAGAATCATACTTCCTGTCAAAGTACGCGTGTTATGAAGATAAGCCAAACATTTCTTATCAACTCCGTATTTACCTGTATACGTGCTTCATTCAGCTTCGTTATTCTTGCTAATTCTTCCCGGCAATATATATCTGGATAGTGACTTTTGGCAAATGCCGCTTCAAGTTCTTGCAACTGTTCTTGTGTGAATGTTGTCCTGTGTCGTCTCCTGGCAGGTGTTGGAGGGCACGTTCCGTTTCCAGTTGGTGTTGTACCCGTTCCGTTGCTGGGAGAAGTGGTCGGAGAACTTCCAGCTGACGGTAAAGCCGTTCCTAATGGGTTCCCTTCAACTTTTAGTTTCTTAAAAGCACCTTCTTGACCTGCATAATACAAAATAGGGATTAGTGGGTGGTAAGCTGCAAAAGCGCAAACAGCCGTTCTCTACTGTTCTATTCGACAAAGAGATCTAAATATAACTTCTTATCCTTCTATTCGCACATTTTCAGTATAAAAATTAAAATAAATTCTCTTAAATTTATGAATCTATACAAAATTTTATTTCTCTAAAACGACTACCGTTTAAACAGTCTAATTTATGATTCCGGAATTGTTAAAAATGCCAATTTTCAATTCGCTTATATCTGCGTCATAAACAGATGGGGTATTGCTTCTACTATTCCCTCTCCTGGCAGACAATCTCAATACTTTTGACCCCTTGCTGAGTCTTGTGTTCAGTAGCTCTACAGGCCTCACTGAACTGGAATCTATAGCCAACTCCTCAAACAGTACAGGAACAACTATAGAAACCTACTAAAGTAACTTTTAATTAATTACAGATTTGTACATATCTCTATTTCTATCTATTACAAGCTGTATAACTAAATTTACAGCCCGATTAGTTGAGAATTAAGATTAAAGTGGTTAAACTATCGGAATTTTAAAGTTTTCGTTTGTTAAATGGAGTCTAAATGAGCTTATAATATAGGCCTAATAAAAATTTTCTATCAAGGAGATAGGACGTTTAACTGTTTAATCGAAATTAATAACTGAAAATATAGCAAGTGTATAAAAAATACATACTTTATAAAATTATTTAAACAAAAAAAAACTGAATCAAATTACAAAATAAAAATTATTTTAATACGAAAAGGATCGAATCGAAGTAAATTGAAGACGTTCGGACAAATTATCAGTTTTATTGTTAAATTGAGTTTGAACGAATTCATTAACAAGTTAAATAAATAACATAGAAATCATGTGCAATAGGTCTACTTCTAAAGAATATGAAAATCATTCTTTTTATTTTAAAAATAATTTTAAAGTTACAAACTTTGTTGACAAGTGATTCACTTTTAGACAGCAATGGTAATTGTCTTGAACTGCAAAACATATGGTATGACTTCAATTTCCACAGTGCATGTGCAATTCAACATTTAACGATCAAGAAATGATTAATTTAATTTTAACTTTTAATATCTAATATTTACTAATCAAATACCATATATATTCTTAATATATGCCAATAAATAAATAAAGTGTTAATAATTTNAAATAAAAAGTAAGTTTATTCGGATTGAATTAAACTTTCTTGACATCGGATAACTCATGAATATATATCTACATTCATATCTAACCGCTAAAGAGGTTTAAGTACATACATTTTTAATAAAATAATTGTTTATAAGATTTAGGCCTATAAATATATTGAAATTTTTATTTACTACATCAGTTTGGCTATATTAGATAGAGCCGAATACTGAAAATATGCTTACAATCAAAATAGTAAAAGGTAATTTACGGTATTGATAGTAAAGTTATCAAAATAACTAATCTAAATATTTCATTATTACATAAGTTGAATTAGGTTAAGTCATGAAGTAGAATTCCCAACGTCCTTTATCTCTGTATGATTATAGCGGATTCAAGCAACGAATGCCCTAATAAGTTTGTAATATTAATGATAACTTTCTGAAATGTATAATATACAATTTTAGATAAATTTAACTGATTTTTAAAATATCCTACAATCTTATAGGTCATATAATCTACAAACAGCATGAAACAAACGTAGGCCTGAAGTATAGCGTAATATAACAAATTGAGTTGAAAAGATTTGAGAAATTTTTTCATATTTAAAACTAATTCAGTACATTTACTATTATAATTGCTAATTAGAAAGCCCGTAAAATTATAATTGTTGATAGTCATTTTGTAAGTAAAGATTGAAGAACTCTTCTAGATAACCCGCTAAATATTAACCCGATCATAACTTCTTATTCAAACCAAGTTATTCTGCTCTATTCAATTGAATCTCGGAGAAGCCTTTACATAGATGAAGATAATTATTTTTGAAAAATTCAATTTACTGGTTTTCATTCGCTTACAAATTGTTTATTGATTGTTAACTTCTTTTGCTAATCGTCTGACGATGTTAAAATGGCTCTCCCTTAATATCTTAATCATTTATTCTATGTTTAAAAAGAACAATACGGTAGATTTTGATTGAATTCAAATTTTATAAGCAAAAAGTAACAAATAAAAACTGCAAATTGCGACTTCGTTAAATTTTTGCATTCTGTAGTAGTTAGGCCATGGAACAATAATTTATTCTCTTGTATGAGTTTTTATTTTGATTTTGATTAGTGTATAAAATAGCTGAGCTACTTCAGTAATTTATTTTATTATAGGCCTTCAATTTTCTTTTATTTCGATTGTTTTTATTTATTCTCTTCCGTAAAATAACGGCACTCGCAGATTTAAAAACGATGTAAATCTCGTTCGAAATAAAATATTTACATTACACATTGCTTTTACGTTATTCTCAAAAAATATAAACAAATTCATATTTAACTACATACAATTTACAAGTTTACAAATATATTAAAATGTTATGTTCATTAAATAACTTAGACTGAAGTCAAATAACTCATTAAGATGAATAAAAACTAAAATTTTAACTACTTCAAAGTAAAATTAAAGAAAAATCATTATTTAGAGAAAAACTAAAACAACGCTTATAACTTTCTTAGTTAATAAAACTAAACGCGAAATAGCAAGTATATTGATAAAGTGATGTGCACGTAATAGAATGATAAAATAACCACAGTAAAAAACATGCTAATAATAAAGATAAAGATAATTAAAAACACTAATCACGTTTACTTTCTCAAATGCTGAGTTTACAACGTATCTTGCTCTAGGAAGAAGAAGCTTACAGTCGGCCGCCATCTTTCTAACAGAGTGAGAATTTAAATTACATACCAACGGATTAAATAGAATTAATGTATTATTAAGCAATGATTTAATTTATATAATTAGTAAGAGATGATAATTAATCGTATAATCCGATATAATTAAAAGTATAGGCCTATATATAAGAAGCGTCATCTTCTTAAGTGATGTCGGAAATGTCAACATCCAGTTTTACATTTCGAAATAAGAAAAGATTGTTCTAAGAATGAGGGTTATAATCAATGTAAAAGAGCTTAAATTTACGATTAAGAAATCAAATTTAATTGTATTATCAAAGGCCTTAGATTTTAAAAGTTATGGTCTGTGAAAAAGATGTTTGCGAAATGAGTAGTTGCAAAAGCCTATTTTGGTATTGAAAAATTGAAATATGGATGGAAACCGAAATCGTATAGAAGACTTGATTAAAGCGAACAATTTCGGCAAGGAAACTGAGAATATAATTGAATTTGCGATAACGTCAAACGCAAAAAATTTCCCAACTTTTTTCCACCCTAGTCATTAACTCGGTAAAAATCATAAAGCAGTATAAGAAGCGCTAATTCATGATTGTATAAAAAACAGTATAAAAACCGGATTTAATTAAAGGAACAATAGAAAAAACGAGGTGGATAGATGTAAAAGTGTTACCAATCCAAAGAGATGTTGACAAAGTACGGCTGAAGAAATACAATACACAATCCAAAGCAAACTAAAAGAATCCCAAACGGCAACGAAGGCAAAAGTGATGGCTGTGCTGTCACAGACAATCAGTTCAACAGAAATTTCCAGGTACATCGCACCAGCTAATAGAATTTCCAATTTAATAACATGAATGGGATGTACGCCAGTCGGGTTGTTACTCTACATTATAACCGAAAAATGAAGATTTATTCTTATATTCAATTATACGGAAGAACTACTTAGAGTGTAGTAATTTAGGTTGATTTATTGAATTTATTAGGAAACGTGCGAACTAAACTTACCCACGTGTTCCTCTAGGCTACGAGTGTCCAGACCATAGAGTGCTGCAAAATCATCACATTTTCTCTTCTGTCTTTCTTCCATCATCTGATGCTCTTCGGTCATTGAATGCGAGAAAAATCACACCCAACACTTTGTACCTACGATGACAATATCGCTGGCCCTAACCAAAAGTGACTAACTAAGTTACCAGAATACGGTCTTATAAAGCAACACCTGTCTCTATGTATATATCTTGTTCTAGACCAATCACAGTTCACTGTGGATCTGGGGTCACGGATGCAAAGACAGACTTGCACAAGCTCCCACATGATTGGTTCTCTCTCTCCACATTCTCTGGTCGGACAGCTCTCCATGCAAGAGGCGTTTCCTTCAAATCGATTGTTCCTGTCAGCCCGTACAGTTCTACAAAATTAGTAAGTATTTTTTGGAAAATTTCTACTTTACTCCATACTCTTACTTTGTATGGCTGGATGTTCTTCCTATCCAGATAAATGTTTCGAATAAATATGACGAAAATCCGATCTGCTTCTAACCAAAGAAAAGACGTGGAGATAAAATGATTATAACGTAAATTTAGCGAGCTAAATTACGTTCGAGGATTGCGAAATTAAATCACGGATGGCGGCCACATAATAGAGGGAGAGGAAGGCGCTGCACACATTCACCAGAAAACTCTTGCTATATAAGCATTGGTTGTGACCATTCAACCTTTATGCTACGAATGATGAGGGACTGTCTCATGTCCGACTTGGTAAGTACCAGCACAAATTACTTTTTGCAGTTTTTAGCGCTTGTTTTCTGTCTACTTTAATATCTTAATCAATTTCGCGATCTGTCTATTATGTTTGGCTTGCTTATATTATATTTGGCTTCATGTCTAAAATACCAATTTTCTAATATACCCCAAATGACCTCTTAATCAGCTGGTAAAAATCTAAAATAGCTGTCTAAATAGATGATTCCCATGTTTTCTATTCGTTCAGTATCTTTCGATCAGAAGTGAATACATTCCTCAACTCTAGCAAAAAACAAAAAAATTGTCTGCTAATAAATTTAAATAACCCTTACCTTCGTTAAAGCTCGTGCATCGTTCTTCCTTCAAACTTTTTTCGAAACGATAATCTACAGAAAAATACTTTTTAAATATATATGAAAGTCATAAAAGTGCTAAAAAGTAGAAATTAACGTTTTAACTTACGACTTAGGCCAAGATAATGAAAGTGCATCTTTCAAGATGGCGCCGGCGATAAACAGCAACAAACGATCAAGAGAACAACTCAATCTACGTGTTGAAAGGAAGAACACGTGCTTGGGGTTAGGTAGCAGGTTGTGAAAACACGATCCAAGAAGCGGGCCAGGCCACTCGGCGGGGTGCCCACTGCTGACAATAGAGACCATCTGACAGTCGGCTTGTGTGCCACGTGCCTCATGCAACCGAACTGCCTCCCTCATTACATCGGCTTAGGATTCTATAATACTTACAGCAACTATAAAGCCGGTAATAGGGTGACAAATGTTGACGTTGGGCACACGTGTGTGTTCATCTATTCTGTAGTTGGCGCTTAATTGTTCAGAGGGCTCTTCAACTCTGATGGCCTACGGCACACAATGAATCTAGACCTTTAAGACTTGGCTTTTAATCTACAGGCCTACCTGAGTACTTTTGTGTGATAAATGTGAAGCATTATAAAAAAGGATCTAAAGATCCGCTTATTTATTATTTAAAGAGTTAATGAAAATCAAAAAGACAAAACATTTAACAAGGAAAAGCACTATAACATCTTATAAATACTTCACGATTTTTACAATCCGAAAAACACGGGGATATTTATTTAGTTTAAAATTTAAATAGATGAAAATTAAATCTAAATTGTATTTATTAATTGCTGAATTATTTATTACTAATTTTGAATAGGTCTACATTCTGATCATCTCTTTTTAAACAGATGCAATTTACATTATAATCATAATTCCCTTCCGATATAACATTCAGTTTAGGAATGTTTTGATATTTATTTTTAACAATCTTATATTCGCATAATTAGGCCTGCTTGCTATTTCTTAAATTTATTACTTAAAATTTTATATTCAACGCTAAAAATTAAAATTTTCTTTGTGTATTCATATAAATAAACATATTTGTTTAAATTTTAATTATAAATGTGCATTAAAAAATTTATATTTTTTACTAATCTAAAAAGACTAAATAACTTGTTTTCTGCAATTGTTTACTTTCTTCGTCTATTGAAATCTTATTAGGCCTATTATTTTAAGTATAATATTTTCATGTTTATGAAGTTTATAAACTAATATTATATGCAGATTTTTTAAATTTATACTTCTAAAGCGCAATATAGGTCTATATTTAGAATAGGGCATTTAATTTTGCAATAAGAAACGTTTTTAAACAATTGTCATAAATGTAGATAAATGTAGCCTTACAATAAGAATTGAAGTGTTTTAGTGTTAACAGCAGTTTATAGTTTATAAAAAATAATTACAGATTTCTATTAATAATTCAATACTATGTTTTAATAATGACTTATATTAATAGAACCTTGTTGGCCTTATAATAAACTATAATTGAAGGAAGGTATTATTTAAATATGAAATATATATCTTACAAGTGTAGCCTAGTTTTCATTTTGTACTGTTGATATTCTGGATTGAATTTCTTTAATAATAAAATAAATTTTTATTAATTGTAGACCCAGATACTTTAGAAAAATAAGCTTTCCTGAAGATAATCAGTTAAAAAAAAGTTTAACTTAGAAAAAAAACACTTAAAAACTGTATAATCAACGTTAAATTATTAATTTCACAATGATATCATTTTTTTATCACGAAAGTTTAGGTTAAAATTATTACAAAACAAATAATATTTGCAATTTCTAACTTATTGGTCTATCGATAGTCCGTTTATCTAATCTCCTTTAAAGGCTTTGCTCTATAGTCTAAAATTAGTTATAGATGTCAATTTAAATAAAGTATGATTTTTAAATTATTTAAAATTGAGGATAGATGTGTGATTCGATTTCTATTAGGGCTTCTAAAATAGATTTAAACGATCGGATTAATCATTTGGTTGATTAGTAAATTTATTAAAGATAAAAGAATTACACTATTAAATCTATAGGCCTAAATAACTATTGAATTTGTTAAATGGTTTCTAATAGTGCAGAGAATTTTTCAATTTATAGCGGAATTTATATAAAATTTAACAAATTTAAATCATAAATGTTTAGTTTCATTTTACAATTAAATAATTTCAATTTTTTTTATAAAGTAGAAAATGAATCATGATATAATCATGATTTTAAATACCGAAGAATTCACTTAATTTAATCTTATTTAGATATTTAATTCAATAAATTATTGAATAAACTATTTTATTATTATTATCATATAATTGTTTATGAGTTATGTACAGTAAAATACCCGTAAAACTGTCTGCGACAAGAGGAGAAGCTTAAGTCTTGTGAAATCTGCTTACAATTTCACAAAAGAGGAAAATTGAGTTTATAATTTACACTTAAATACACAAATATGAAGTTTGAGTTAATGCTACAAGATAAAATTTAAGAAAGATTTCAATGAAGTTTAACCTAAATAATTTTATTTGATATACAGTATTTGAAGAATCGTTTATTTTTATGATATATTTTAACAAATTTTATTGGATTATATTCGTTTGATATACGATTTATTTCATATTAAAAATATACCATTCAAATACAGGTAAATTTATAAAAATTACTAGCTTTAATACTGAAAAATATTTTTGTATCTTAAAATATTCTTTTCAGTATGTTAAGTTAGGTTACAAAATAACAATAGAAAAACAGTTACGTGTTAAATCATATTTGGTTATTAGTATATAATTTTCAAGTTGAACAAAAAGTTAATGAATCCAGTTGAAGATTCGAAAACATTTATCGACATTTAAATATCATAATTTGTATAAATTTACCTGTTGTTTGAATGTTTTATTTTACCCTAGGACAAGATTTAAAATAGCTATTGTATGGACTTGTTTCTTATCTTCAGAACTTAATATAAATCTATTAAATTTCATATAAGTTCTAACAAAATATAATAAAATTTTATATATAAAACTAGACGTTTTCTATCTCGTAAATCGAAACGTAAACATCATAATTTATTAATTTATTTGAAAAATGTAACTTGTGAAGTAGAATATAGAGAAGATTCATTCTACTTTTTGTATTCTAAACCTTATACACAGCATTTCAAATGTTATAGCTTATAAGTTTTATATAAAAATGTGTTCCATAAAAAAGTCCAAGAAACTAAATATAGTCACGTATAATTTTATGCCGGATTAAAAAAAAAGCATTTAATATTTTATTATGAAAGTTAAACTAAATCACCAAAGAAAATTCACAGATTTAAAAGACTTTTAATATATTCCAGATTACGACTTTGCTTAGCGGGATCGTAATCTTACTCGATAATAAAATATAATGAACATTTTTTTTATATCTCTTCGTTTAAATCATTAATTACTTTATTATAGAAACTATAATTAGAACTAGAAAAAATATATAACACATAGTTAATCTTTTATGTAAATTTAAAGAAAAGATCTTGTTTTTAATCAAATTTCTTGATTTATAAGTAAATGAATATTTCTTAATTGCAAATTTTTCTTTTCAGTTTTGAAACAACCAAAACATGAAACCAAATAAAAATTTGAAAATGTAAATTAAAACTAAATAACTTAATAATTATTAACGATTTTCATGTTTCAAATACGTTAACAGAAACAAAATGTTTTTTTAGGCGTTTAGATTTTGAGCTAAATAATCTAAGGATTTAAGTTATTATTTAGGGATAACACATTTAAAAATTTTATCAATACCTACTATTTTAAAATTAAAAAGAATGTTAAATAAACAAAAAGATAAATAATAGTTTATTTTGCTGCGATGTTGTTTTACAAGGAATTTGAAAATTTTCTTTTCGTGCTTTTGATTTAATTAGATTATACATTTCAAACTATTGAAAATATGAAAATTTCTTTTCCAAATACAATTTAAGTATGTCAAGAATCAGTTCTGAATAAATTAATATTCTGCCTTTGGCGTAAAAACAAAATTTTTGGAATTAACGAGTGTTTATTAATCAACATAATGTAAAATATCTAACAAATTCCATCAAAATGTATATAAAAGAGAAATACGTCTCAGTTAATGACAGCAAATTGACACGACGAATTTCAAATTCCATTTACATCCTATTAATCAGTAAATGAATTATTTACCGATCGTTTAAATAAAATTGGTGAGATACTACTTCAAAAATGATTAATTCTTCAGAAAAAAAGAGAAAACATTTAAAACGCGTCTAATCGTATTTATTAACACAATAGAACAATACAGCTAATCGATCTTTATGTTTATATGTTAAAAAATTAGGATATTATTGTTTATTATTCGAGCAATTTCACCTAACAAAAGAATCGAGTAAAAGTATTAAAAAAAAGAAAAAAAAAAGCAAAGCTGTGCAGATGGCGAGATAGACACTCAGGTTTCCAAAACTACATCATCTCCCTAATGGGGGACGGCACCTTTGCTATCTAACGAGTGCGTACTGCGCATGTGTAACTGATGTAGGACCCCAGATGGATAGAAGGGAGACTGCCCGCCCCTATAATCAACGAAGCCGCTGGGAACAAGGCTAGTAAATTGAATAGCTAGTAACCCCCCTAGAGGTAGCAAAGGGACGCAGGTGGACCCGTGCTTTAGGTAGACCCCCTAAGGCATCGCGCCAGTTGTTCGCACCCAATTAAGTCGTAGTGCAATTTTGTGCAGCAATGGAGTGATAATTGAAACGATGCAACTTTGAGATCCACTCCCCCTGTACTACATGGTGATTGACTGAATGGGAGGAGCTTTGACCAGATCATGAGTTACTTGTCTATCAGGATTGATTTAAATTTCTATGCATATATGAAAATTTGAATTTTACTTTTATTCTTTGTTTTATATTCCCACTCAAAATTTTAATGAAATTTTGTATATTTCTTTAACAAAATGATGTTTAATTAAAGTTTACAAAATAAAAATAAAAATAAAAACAATTTATAAATTTGAAAATTTATATTTTTTAATCAAATTAAATTTAAAGCTTACAAGTAGTTTTATTATAGTTTTCTTTTTTTTAAACATTTTATTTTATTTAAATAATTACTTTCGATGACTAAGTGCGAATTCATGGTAAGTCAAGTAGCCATCGTTGTTTAAGTCGTCTTCTGAGAAAAGAAGGTCGATGATTGCTTTAAAAAAGAAAGAAAAAAAAATCATAAATTTTTATGCGTTGTAAAACATCTGTTGTAATATTCACCAACCGTGGTTAGATGATGGCCGTGATTAGATAGTATCAGCAGTAATTTTAGCCTACTTTTCCTACTCAATTAGGATATCTCTAGTGAGGTCTTGTTTAAGTACAAATTTTTACAACACTTATCACGTGTTGTGTAGAATTATTGGCAATCCGATCCCACAAAACACGTGTCGGGGTTACTTTGTGTGGCGAGAGGCAGGTTGTACTACTTCAGTAACAAAACTCTAAAGCCCATAGTGTGTTTAATATAGCGCTTAGTAAGCCGTGAAGATAAACGTGTATAATGGGTCACATGGATTGTTTTTAATCGTCATATTTGAATAACGAGATATTCTTATTAAGTGCATCAGCTGATTCGTAATGGTGTTATCTCTTTATGAAAAATATTCAGAGTAATTTGCATGAAATTTTATAAACAGATTATCGTTAACATGAATTGAGAATTTGATTCGGATAACCTAATTGTCAAGTCGAGTTTTTACGCTGGGTTATTTATATTATTCGAAAGTGATGCCAACCTTTCTCTTTCTCTTTTCCTCTTACTTACTTTTTTTATAGTTTTGACCTACAAAAATTCTGTTTATCTTTAAAATCTTTTAAAATTCTAGAGGTCTGCTGCAAACCGAAAATTCTATCCACAGGCTTTTTTTTTATAAATCTGGTTTTTCTTTAGGATAGACCCACTAAAATGTTTTTTGACGTCTTCATTTTTGTTATGAATTTATTTTTTTCTTTAACAAATAATTGATAGCTAAGATACAATACTTACTATTTGGACGTTAAAGATATACAATACGAAACGAATATTATTAATAAATATTGCTTTCATATAATCCTAGAGTTTTAATTATCTTACAATTTACTATAATTATTATAACTAACAATTATTATAAGTTTAAGCTTAGTAAAGTTTATATAGGCTGGGAAAATTCTTAAGTCGTAAGCTAGTATTAAATATTCAAAATTAAAGATAAAATTACGCTTCTATTCTTTTTTCCTAGAAAGAACATTGCAGANTTAAACACGTATCTCACATTAAATATTTAAGTTATATTCTATAAATTAATATATTAGCTTTATAATAAAGATCTGTAATTTTTTTTTATCTTGTTTTAAACAAAGAAACTGATTTCAAAATAGGTAACTATCACGTATGTAGATGAAGAAGCTTATGAAAAATGTTTATTTATTGCGAAGAAATCTTAAATTGGCGTAAGGAGGTCCTGTAAAATGATAAATAAAATTATTATGATTCAATTATGATTTAATAATAATGATAAATATCTTATATAACCTATTTCATTTTGTTTTAATACGGAGCATGCAATTAAATCTACCAGGATAAATAATAACGAAAACATTAAGGTATGAAGATTAATAAATTTATCTATCTACATAATAGCTTTAAATAATTAATAACATCTTTAATTTCGTTTTAAAACTTATAAAAATACGAATTAAATTATTTTATTTATTTATTTTTTTTTGCTAAATCAAAATTTAAATGTTGAGAAATATTTAGATATCAATTAGAAATATTTTAAGCCTACAATACTTTTTAAAAAAATCATTCTGATCTTTGATATAAGTATAAGCCTACAGACTATCATTAGTTTAATGTAGTCTCTACATTATTATTTTAAATTGATCTCGTGGATTTAAAAGGAAAAACTTAAAATATTTTTCAATTGGTCAAATACAAATAAATTTTAATTTTATTTCATTTTAAATGACGCTGTCTATAATTTACGTATTAAAACAACCAAAATTTTCAAATGCATTATATTAAATTGAACTTATATTCAATCTACGTTGATGAATAAAATTTTCGACAGAATTCTGCAAAATTTATTTAAAATTTTGTAAAATATTAGTCTTAAATAATTANAAGTTTAAACAAATGAAGATAAATCAGTAAGTACAACTTAAAAATAAATACATATATTTTAAATTAAAATAGAATTAATTACGCATAGGCCTACATATTAACTTCATTCATATCGATAAAAATTGTTTTCTTATTCTAGATTAACGAACATTAAAATGTTTCAGCATGATTGATTGTTACAGAATTATGTCATGTTTATCGGGCCTACAAGTTGAGAATAACAATTGTGAATATATTTTAAATTTTCGTAATTCTAAATATGATGAAAGTAATGTACTTTATTAAAGTATTTAAAATATGTTCGTCATATACTCAAGTTTAACCGATAATATTACTCATGTAACATGCTTAAATAGCTTAGCCAATGAATTTATTGTTTATATCTACAGAAATATATATCTTACCAGCATCAAGTTCATATATTTCATTCTGTTTTCTTTGTTTTTCCAGCCGATCGGCTTCATTATATCTTTCATTTTCTGAAATACGTTCTTCCGTTACATGACTGAGTGCCATTAGCAATTCGAGTCCATCTAATTTCCCATCTTTGTCTAGATCATGCAACCTAAATAAATAAATACGTACATTACTAAATTATGTAATTTCATTTCCAATAATAAAACCAAAGATAAGCTATATAAGTTTTTTAAAAAAAAAGTAATCTGTAAATATTTTGAGTTAAATATTTTATTATACAATTATAATTATTATACACATATTTTATAAATAGTAACGACATAAATATATTTATGTAACAAAATATTAATAGATTAATAATAAGTCGGCGTAACGTTAGTGTTTAAGTATTTATTAATCGAATTAAAACGTTTTAAGAATTTTCCGAATAGCGTAAAGGAAGTGTTTTTAAAGCCGCAGATTAAATTTTAAACACGTATCTCACATTAAATATTTAAGTTATATTCTATAAATTAATATATTAGCTTTATAATAAAGATCTGTAATTTTTTTTTATCTTGTTTTAAACAAAGAAACTGATTTCAAAATAGGTAACTATCACGTATGTAGATGAAGAAGCTTATGAAAAATGTTTATTTATTGCGAAGAAATCTTAAATTGGCGTAAGGAGGTCCTGTAAAATGATAAATAAAATTATTATGATTCAATTATGATTTAATAATAATGATAAATATCTTATATAACCTATTTCATTTTGTTTTAATACGGAGCATGCAATTAAATCTACCAGGATAAATAATAACGAAAACATTAAGGTATGAAGATTAATAAATTTATCTATCTACATAATAGCTTTAAATAATTAATAACATCTTTAATTTCGTTTTAAAACTTATAAAAATACGAATTAAATTATTTTATTTATTTATTTTTTTTTGCTAAATCAAAATTTAAATGTTGAGAAATATTTAGATATCAATTAGAAATATTTTAAGCTTACAATACTTTTTAAAAAAATCATTCTGATCTTTGATATAAGTATAAGCCTACAGACTATCATTAGTTTAATGTAGTCTCTACATTATTATTTTAAATTGATCTCGTGGATTTAAAAGGAAAAACTTAAAATATTTTTCAATTGGTCAAATACAAATAAATTTTAATTTTATTTCATTTTAAATGACGCTGTCTATAATTTACGTATTAAAACAACCAAAATTTTCAAATGCNAGGAAATCAAAAGAGATACGTAGAAATTGTTTCTAATTTCATTGGATATATGTTTTCATAGAATGCGCCAGTCAGTTTTTATCACTAAAGAAGGTTTAGAATAAATTAGATTATTCGAAGATACCTGAATTATTTTCGATCTAATTTTCAGCTTTTTTATATTTTATGGATAATAAATATGACTAAAACATTTAAATAATGAATAGAATACCGATATCCTATGATTCATTATTAACTAATTATAGACTACAGGCTACTAAGAGAATAGATTTTACCTATATAGAAATATTCATAAGAGTATGTTTTAAAAATCATTTTTCGAATTTTCAAAAAATGCTACACCTTTTTAGGTTTTCTTTTTTAACGCCGACATTTTTAAAGAATAAACAAATTTAAATTTAAAAGTACGCTTCAATAATAATTAGTATACAATTAACGCACAAATTTAATTTAAAACAGTTTTTTTAATTCCTTTTTTTTGTAAAAGTAGATTTATAATAATATGTTAATTAAAAAATAAATAGAAATACACGATAATATAAAATTATAAATTTATCAATTCGACAAGAGTTTATATATACATTATTGCTGTTGAGAATATATTTTTGAAATACGCATATATTTTTAAGTCATATTTTAAATATATTTACGGAAAAAACGTTTTAAATTCAATTTATATAGGCCTATTTAAAATATATTACAAAGCGTAAATGCAGAATTTTATAGGCCTACATAAACTGATTATGAACAAGACTATTTCGAAGGTAAAATTGATCCTTTTTCTTTCGTACAATGATTCAAAAATGCCATTCAGAACATAAAAGAATAAGCGATTTCATCAAAAAGGAATGTTCATTTATTTCTTTGTAAATAAGTATCTTAAAATCTATAGGCCTAAAGAATATTTCAAAGTTTAATAACTACGGTATACAACTGATTTCTAATTTTGTAAAAATTATGAAACTAGTTATAATTTATGAAGTAAAAATAATAATAAATATTTAAGATTAACAGATGAAAATAATGAAAAATGTAGGCTAAGTCCGGAAAATTTTATAGTAAATTATTACGCTATTTTCATATATAATATCTAATGATAACAATAATAGTTAAATATTGAAATGTTTGTAAATTATAATGTCGATAACCGAATATAATTTAAAATTTAAAGCATATTTATCAATGCAAAGACGACAAATGTTATTTACTGGAAGAATCTGCTGAAAATTCAAACTAATGTATTAAATATTCAAGCTTTATTTGTTTATTTATTTTCAAAATGTTTCACCAAGTTAGATTTATTAAAACTATTTTAATTTTTTTTTGTTATAGCTTCCAAATTCTATTAAATATAATTCTCTCCATAAAGACAACGCAGTCAAATATATTCCGAATTGAAATGATAACTAGGCTCCAAGAACTGGAAATTGCAATCAAAAGTAAGCTTATATAATTGTTTTGTAACTGCCATTAAATTTATGCTATTAAATGTTTCGCTAATATTGAAAATAGAAAAGAATTCTTTTTAATACTTTAATAAATTTTAAAAATAATCAGGCCTATAGTTTATAAAGTAACGTAAATTTTAAAAAATCGCAATTAAATTTAAGCATATATCGGATTTTAAGATAGACGAATAAAATATTAAATTGTTCAATAAATTATTTGCTGGATCATGTAAGATTAACCTAGTCCTTAATATCCCAACGAAATGACCATGAATTACCTACAATTATTGGATCAAATCAAATAACTGTCCATTCAATATCTTCTTTATAACATTTGAAACGTTAGGATCGGGAAATGAGACCTACAGTTTCGCTTTTTATATTTAATTTATACCGAGATGATGAACGTATCTATTAAATAGCATTAAAAGAATTTCTTTTTTTTCGTGCATAAATATAGTTGAATTCGTTAATTTTTCCTATGCTTAATTGTATCCATTTTATTCTAACCGGAGAACGGCCAGATATGGAAAGCAATAATAAAATATTCTGATGCAATTGTGGCATCTTCTCTACACATTTTTAAAAGTAATTAATACTTTCATATAAAAAAATGTGATTATATATTCTACAAACATAAAAAAAATTGTGTGAAATGTAATATACGGTCTCTATTTCGTTTATCAAGAAATTATTTCTATTTACAGAACTTTCTTTTTAAAAATCCTGACCTTCTGGAGACATTATGCCTATCTATTAATAAATCTATTTAACAAAATTAATTAAATCGGTACTTAAACATTTACAAAAACAATTATTCTTGCGCTATTTACATATTATTCTACACCGTACCGTCTGTAGCATGTAGTTTAAATATTTTTTTATGAATGCTTATAATCATGTTCTTATTTCTTGCACAATTTATTCTATTGATATATCACATATATTAATTAATGGATAGTTTGAATGATTAATGGTCTAGTCTAGGGATGGCGAATCTATGGCACGCGTGCCCAAAGTAGCAGTTAAGGAGACGTAACGTATCATATTATTTTGATTTATCATCTGTTTTTTTCAATCAGCTTTTTTACATTTATTTTAATTAAACATTTTCGTTTAATTTATTTAAATAGAGTTAGTCGAAGTTTAAAACTTTGGCACGCATAAACATCTCTAAAGTTAAGTATGCTTACTGTATGACACGCGGACTCAAAAAGGTTCGCCACCCTGGTCTAGTCTGTTCCTAAATTATAACACATATTTTAGAATTTTAGCAGATAAATTTAAATTTCGTTTATGTTCTACGTAAAAGGAAATCATTTAAATTTTTTTTTTAAATTTGGTGTTTATTACTTGCTATGCAAATTTAATATAAAGGCCTATTCGAAACTAATTATGTAGAACACAATCTGTTGACAATAATCTCATGTCTAGCTTTGAAACTTTACAATATATTTTTTTAATTTTTCATAAATTGTAAATATTTACGAAAAGAGATATTCTTAGGTACTGTACAGTACATTAAATATATTAAATAAATAGCAATTTTTAAAGTTTATTTTTATCTTTTAATGATTAAAAGTTAAGTGATACTTGAAACGTTTCCAACGTTATAAAAGTATTGAAAAACTTTTTAAAAACTTAGTAACCGATTTGATTTTTTTTTCAATTAATCCATTAACGAATTTATTTATAAGTATATATACATCATGTAGTAGAAATTTTGAGAAATGTAACAACTTCGAATTACAAACTATATAAATTTTTATTTTTTAAATATATCTTTGCCTATATTAAATTCAATTTACATAATCCTTGTATATGTGATTTATCATTTAAAAAAATTCAGCACGAGTTCATTGGTAAATATGATAGACAGAAATTAATAAAGTTAATAATTAACCATTGAAATTTTAAATAAAATAAATTTTTAAATATTCCCAAAAAGATATAATGAAGAATGTAACGCCATCTAGTATCAAAATTCATAACATTTAAAATTGATTTTGTAAAAATTTTAAAATAAAATAAATTCTCTAAAAAATGATAGAAATTTCCTGTTCTTATTTTAAATATAACGGAAAAATTATCACTATTTTTCTAAATAAGTAACTATTAAAATAATTTAATAGTTATTTATTTAGAAATTCAAAAAAAGTAGGCCTACTTTAAATATATTTATTAAAGTTAATATTATCTGCTTATACATATATATATATTAAATTTAAGATTTATCTCCCTCTAGATATAATATACATATATTAATATATAAATATCGATATCATTAATTACTGTTGAAAATATGGCCGTTTTATGATTACGACATTTAGGAAAATTTCCTTAGGTCTTGTTTTCATAATTTCATTTAGTAAACAAATACTGAACTCGGCTTAAAAATCAGTATTTATTTAAAACACCCTTCTTGAATTATCAAGAGGGAAAAAATACCAATTTGTCTGTTAAACAATTCCGATTACAAAGAACCGAGAGGACAAAGAAGTAAAAGGAAGAAAGGTGTTTCAATTCGGAACACGTTCGGATTCTCATCCACTCAATTTCCGTTCTGACGTTGGTCGTTTCCATAGCGACGGGACTAGTCATATGCAAATGAGCTCGAGCTTTCTTGAAGGCGGAAATGGCAAGGAACCAAAAAACTGGTAATCGTCTTTCAGTAATTACGATATGAAGCGTGGATAAGAATGATCCCGGGTAATGTTCGATAGACGGAAATGCATTCTTTTACAACAAATTTTATTTTCTTTCGATTATTTTATTTATTTTTTTAAATTGAAAAAAAAATTGAAGATCGATTATGAAAGTAGTAAGATTTTTTTTTTGTACGAGAATATATTTCTGGTTACGTCATACGATTAGTTTTCCTTTATTTTTAGAATAATAAAAAAGTTTAACAGAAAATATGTTGAATTTATTAATACAATACTGTGTAATAGTTATTCCTTAATGCGTTTCTTGAAAATCATAGGAAACATTTTCATATGATACGTGTGAAATGTTAAAACTCGATATTACCTGTATCAATTAATGTTGTTTTCTTAGCTTTATTATATTAAAACGTTATAATTAAAAAAAAAAAACTTACTGAAAATAATAAAATTCCATTTCGAAATCTGAAATATCATCTGCCACATCAAAATCATATTCATTTTTCAAATCTTCTTTAATATGACTAAAAATGAATCAATTATATGTTTTATATATTGTTAATATATGTAAAAATTAAATTACATACTTTCTATCTCTTAAAATTTCTTCGTTTTTTAGGAAATTAGTTGGAGAATCTCTAGATATGGAAGGATGATAATGATCGTCGTGCTGGTATCTTCTATCAAGTTGCACCATCGATATACATGATAGTATGATAAATATATTCAACTGTATCATCTATTTCAATTTATAAATAAATTAGGTAAGGGACTTGTACAAATAAATACTAATAACTCAAAACAATAATTAACTTTGAGTAATTAGTAATTGTTAAATTTATAGTAATCGTTTAAAAAGACGAAAGACGGGTGAGATGAAATAACATTTGTTTATATTCATGATCGCTTTAAATTAGTATTAATTTACATTAAAAAATATATTTAAAATCTTACTAAATTTAAGTTATATTGTTATTTAAAGTTCTAAGTATTCTCTTCAATTTAAACTGAATTATTTATATATAAAGCTTGTTTAAACAATTATCTTTTATGTCTATTTTTAACTGAGATGTTTTTATGATTGTTTTAGACTAAAAAAAAAGTAACAGTTTAGCAATTTTTAATTGGAAATATTAAATATTTTTACCTTCTTTTCCGAGTTTTAGGCCTAATTCTTTTCCGAAATAAGGATCTTTTGTAGTAGTCTACTTTATCTTTTTCTTATCATCAGCACCTGGAAATTCTCAAAATTATCTAAACTAAATAGATATTCTTCGAATTTATTAAGAGTCAAAGTAACAAAATATAATTATAAATGCCGAAAGTTGATTAATCTAAAATGTATGATGGTTTTTCTAAATTAGTTTTTTTAAAACATAAAATCCTAGTTTATTATTTTAAAATTAAATAATGTCTTTGGAATAATCAAGTCCAAACTTAAAGAATGTTTCAAATCGGGTAACAAAGATTAGTAATAGAGAGATAAAGATTTTCCCACAGTTTGTCTGCATAATGCGTATTTTTTTTTAAATCTGGACATTGGTATTCCAAAGAATTATTTTAAAATAATGTCGTATTGTCGTTAATATAAAAAAATAATATCGTAATTAAGTTAAATAATTTATTAATTATGTTTATCTTAAATTAATATAATAAATCAGATATTTCACTAAATGTTAGTACGATATTTATATTTATATTTTAAATATTTATGATATTTATTTTAATTATTCTCTTTTGTTTCTAAAAAAAAAAGATAAGAATTTTTTTATAACAATCTCATTTCTTCCCTCTGAATCTATTTATAATATAGTATTTGATTGCTACGCATATTTCAATGATTTTCTCTTTGTTTCTTTCACTTTGTCCTCCTTCTGTTATCTGCAATTCTTGTTTTAATAACTTAAAATCCCTTGATAGAACCGCGTAATACTTAAATCAAAACTAGCAGTTTTAATTTACTTTGTCCATTTTTCTCATCGCTCTTTTTTCTATTACAATTTCTGATAGATTACGGATTATTTATTTCTTAGTCGATGAAGCATTTAATAACGTTTTTAATCAAAATTCGGTATACTTATAAAATTCATCCTTTGTTTTACTATTCATTCAACTTTTGATTTTCTTTTTTCAAAATCCCATTATCCGAAAATCCATCATTCTTTCGCTACAGTGAATGAGAGTAATTATCCAATCGGAATCTCCGAAAAAGGCAAAATTGATTTCTTTCTTTTTGTAAAGATACCTTCAAAGATTTAATATTTTGTTAAAATTCACAAAGACGTAGCTTTTATATTTATTTATTAGGGATATTTTAATGTTAACAGAATAATTCATTTCTGTGTACAGTATTTAGGATTTTACTTTAAATAAATCATGAAACTGTGTCTTAGTTTCTTTGAATTTTTCTTTTTTTAATTTTTAATTCTTCTCGAATTAGTCAAGTAAAATCAATCGGGAAAAATCTTTAAATTTAATTATTTAGAAATAATTCTAAATTCAATAACATAAACTTTATTCTTCTACAATTTTATACAGAGTATTTATTTAAAAAAAAAAATTAAATATTATCTTAAAAATTAATTCACAATAAATTTAATACTTAACTTTTAATCAAATTTATTAAAAATTTAGAATAAAGTGCAAATAATCTTTAATTAATAAAAAAAAAGAAATTAAAAATAATTTAAGTCTGTTATTTTATATTTGTTTTAATATAAACTTAATACGTATTTTTATTTTAAATTTTCTGGAATAGTTTTTAAAGTTATTAAATAAATAGATTTCATTTATGTACAGTACAGGCTGTTAGAGATGGGTGAATACTATCCGCGAATACTCGACTCCTCGAATACTAGAAAGTATTTGAGATTTATTATCTCGAATATAACATCAATAAAAAACAAATTAGAATACTACGAATACCTCTAATATCGCACCATCCGTACAGATAGCGGATCTTCAGTACCTCTGGTTAATTTGCGACAAGAAAAGAAACAGACTAGATTCTAATGTGTTCTAATGCTTGTTTTCTTAAATAAAAGTCTGTACTAAGGTAAGAATGAGAACAATTATTGATAAATCTATTGTATTTAAGATAAAAGTACCTAAAATAAACACCTGTATAACTCAGTTCGAAGTTTCACTTCTTAATACTGTATTTAGTAAATTGCTTTTATTTTTGCTTTTATTAATTTATTTAATATATTGAAATATTAAATAAGTTAATTATTTTATTTAATATTTATTCTTTCTTATATAAGCTATTTAATTAATAAAGTATTCGGGTATTCGAATATTCGCGATCTAGTTCATAATCGAATTCGAAAAAAGTGTTATTTATCTAAAAGCAATATTTAATCATATTTATATTTACAATCTAGCATGCCACATACGATAAAATTAGACCATATGACCATATGAAATAAATTATAATAGTTTTATTGTATATGTGTTTCTTATTATAATGTATTTTTAGAACTATATTAAGAATAATCTTTATTTAGTTATTACTAAATTATAATTATAAGTAATTTGACTTTTATCATCAATTGCAGCTACATAGATTTCTTTCAATTTGTTATAAACGTTTTACTTTCGAATTTAATTCATCAAATATATTTATTAAAGTTTATTTTTAAAATGTTTATTAAATGCATAATTTCTATATGAATTAGATAATACACAAGATAAACAATTTTTTAAAATATACGTTACGAATATCTTACGTATAAGATATAATAAGCTGAATAAACTATTATTATTGTGTTCGTTCCAACGTTTCGGGTGTAATCAGTATGTATTTTATAATTATTTGAATTTTGCAAATTATTCAAGCTAGTGATCTGTACACTATAATCCGATTGCAACATTTCCCTTGCGCTTCATTTCCTTTTGTAATCTTCATTGCAGTAATTTAACCATTCCAATAAACAATCGAAGTTAATAAACGAGTTATGAATCTGTATTCTCAGCAGACAGAATCATCAAAGGAAAATAGTAAAATAAGCATTACAAATCTTTTTATAACAATAATTAAAAAGTATAAAATTAAAATAAATATTTAATATTTTTATTTCGAAATATTATACAGTAAAATTTAAGATACAATTTCCTTAATACGAGAAACGATGACTTTCGAATTTATAAATATTGTAACTAGAAATTATTATACATATAAAAGATTATTATGTAAGATAGAATTATAAGATCAAAATTTAAGTTTTAAAAATGCTGATTTTTGTAAATATTTTTACCCTCCAAAAACATAAAATCAGTTTAAAAATCTTTATTTAAATTTCACTAGTTTTAAAGTAAAATTACTATTAACTTTTGCAATTTAAAACACTAACATTCTATATAATAAAAAGCCGTATAGATATTCTATAATAGAACAAATTTTTAAACAGATCTAAGACTTTGTAAATTCTTTATTTTAAATACTGTATTTTCATACTTATTAATTGCGTTTTTTGGATTTATTTATTGAGAATAAGAAAATAAATTCCCGACGGAAAATCTATGGTATATTAATGTTATCTAATTTGTACGGGTAGGATAAAATTCGGCATCAAGGGAATAGAAAATTTTATACGGTGTTATTGTTTTCTTTCTATGATTATCCATGGCCTTGGTTTAGTAATTGATAGGATATGAATCTCTACAATAAATGCATTTCGTCCAGATCTCATTTGTTAGTTTTGAATCGTTATAATACTGTACTTACTCCATTCTCTCATCTACATTTTTAGCAAGTTCAGTTCGTTTAATCTTATAAAGTAAAATAAATTTTACGCAAAAAAAGTTTTATCTTTTATTTTTACTCTTATCGTATTTAGTATTAAATAAAGAATCCATACTGATATTTTAGCCCGAGTTATGCTTAGACACGTAAGACCAAATGAATTATGTTTAATATTTAATGCAAATGGTACGATTTAAATATATGAATTAAAATAGATTAATATAAAAATATCAAATATATATATATATATTCTATTTAAATTCAAAACATTACATGTCTGGAATTAAAAGCAGGCGTATTATTCATTCCATAGGCCACCCAGTTATGAAGTCGAACATTTTGTACTTCTTCAGAGTTTATCTCGAAATGAAAAGAAAGAAATAATAATAGTAGTAATAATAATAAAGACAACTTTAGACTTTCTATAAAAATATTCAAACAAAAGGATTTGTCGGTCGACATTCCCTTTCATCGTCTCTAAGGATTCTTTCTATATGCATTCTTAATAATGTCAGAAATATTCTTAGAAAACCCAACAATATGCGCATAAATTTGAATATACAGTATTGGATTCTTCGCATTTCTAGCTCCAGAATAAAATATTTCCAGGGGAAAGAGGGAAGAGCAAATACTAAAGGGAAGTTCCTAATAAATAACTAATATGTCTTGTCAAAGTTGAGGGAAACCAGAGGAAAGCAATTTTCAATGAGGACATTTCCCCGCTCTCGTTTCATGATGAAAGGAAATCAAAAGAGATACGTAGAAATTGTTTCTAATTTCATTGGATATATGTTTTCATAGAATGCGCCAGTCAGTTTTTATCACTAAAGAAGGTTTAGAATAAATTAGATTATTCGAAGATACCTGAATTATTTTCGATCTAATTTTCAGCTTTTTTATATTTTATGGATAATAAATATGACTAAAACATTTAAATAATGAATAGAATACCGATATCCTATGATTCATTATTAACTAATTATAGACTACAGGCTACTAAGAGAATAGATTTTACCTATATAGAAATATTCATAAGAGTATGTTTTAAAAATCATTTTTCGAATTTTCAAAAAATGCTACACCTTTTTAGGTTTTCTTTTTTAACGCCGACATTTTTAAAGAATAAACAAATTTAAATTTAAAAGTACGCTTCAATAATAATTAGTATACAATTAACGCACAAATTTAATACGTTTATAATACGTACAAAACTGAGCATATATAAAACTATATATTATTTACGTTCAAATTTTACTTGTCTTTTTATTAATGATGCATATATGTTAAAACAAACTACTTTAAAAATGAATCACACATCTTATGAAGTCTGTGATGTGCTTTTTGTAGAGGAATTTTTTCCCTTTCTTTTCTATTTTTTTCCCCTTCTTTTACGTAAGGAAAAAAAAAAGCCTAAAAGGCACATCATCAATTTTATAAACTTTTTTGATATTGTATAGGAATCTGTTGGCTTATGCTCCAATATTTTAAAGTCAAAATCGCTTCTATCCTTCAATTTGTTTATATATTTTCTATAAATAACCATCGTTAGCTGTTTCACCTTTCTTCTCTCTTGACAATCTTTCTTATTTTTTTTCCCTCCTGCATATTTCTCCCAATGTTTTCAACAATGTCTTAGATCGTAGTTTTATTCCAACTTTTTTGTTATTTAACTAGTTTTGAGTTTTGTTTTATCGTTAGTTTTTGTTTTCTTTTTCGCATGTATTGTCTTATTTAGCCTCTTCAAAACTTTATGTATTATAATTTGTTATTTATTGTTAGTACTTCGTTTCTTTTCTATTTTGTTGTCGCTCTTATTGACTATTTTCATGTTCATATTGTATTTTTTTTTCTTTCAAACGTTTTGTACTCGTTGCTACTTTTTATATTTAAAAATAAATAGAATTCTTGCAATATAAAACAAAGTCGTGTTTTATAATGTATAGAATTATTGTCGTATAGTTTGAGATTGGCCTATCTTTTTTCATTTCTAAAATGTCGTCTCTTCTTCATTATATGATGTAGTGTTCCAAAGATATTCTATCAAATTCCTATCTTCTTCCTGATTTTCCTACTGGGTTAGCACGTTCGACGGACTTAGGCCTAGTCTACCTATCAACAATAAAATTCAATAATGGCATCATTGATACTTAGATCACTTCTTTTAAATGTGATTATTGAATGAAATTTATTTTATAAAAGTTCATTTCTGGTATAGTTTAGATTTCGAAATCGTATTTTTTTTTTACATTATGTGTNTTTGTTTTATCGTTAGTTTTTGTTTTCTTTTTCGCATGTATTGTCTTATTTAGCCTCTTCAAAACTTTATGTATTATAATTTGTTATTTATTGTTAGTACATACGATAAAATTAGACCATATGACCATATGAAATAAATTATAATAGTTTTATTGTATATGTGTTTCTTATTATAATGTATTTTTAGAACTATATTAAGAATAATCTTTATTTAGTTATTACTAAATTATAATTATAAGTAATTTGACTTTTATCATCAATTGCAGCTACATAGATTTCTTTCAATTTGTTATAAACGTTTTACTTTCGAATTTAATTCATCAAATATATTTATTAAAGTTTATTTTTAAAATGTTTATTAAATGCATAATTTCTATATGAATTAGATAATACACAAGATAAACAATTTTTTAAAATATACATTACGAATATCTTACGTATAAGATATAATAAGCTGAATAAACTATTATTATTGTGTTCGTTCCAACGTTTCGGGTGTAATCAGTATGTATTTTATAATTATTTGAATTTTGCAAATTATTCAAGCTAGTGATCTGTACACTATAATCCGATTGCAACATTTCCCTTGCGCTTCATTTCCTTTTGTAATCTTCATTGCAGTAATTTAACCATTCCAATAAACAATCGAAGTTAATAAACGAGTTATGAATCTGTATTCTCAGCAGACAGAATCATNTGAAAAGAAAGAAATAATAATAGTAGTAATAATAATAAAGACAACTTTAGACTTTCTATAAAAATATTCAAACAAAAGGATTTGTCGGTCGACATTCCCTTTCATCGTCTCTAAGGATTCTTTCTATATGCATTCTTAATAATGTCAGAAATATTCTTAGAAAACCCAACAATATGCGCATAAATTTGAATATACAGTATTGGATTCTTCGCATTTCTAGCTCCAGAATAAAATATTTCCAGGGGAAAGAGGGAAGAGCAAATACTAAAGGGAAGTTCCTAATAAATAACTAATATGTCTTGTCAAAGTTGAGGGAAACCAGAGGAAAGCAATTTTCAATGAGGACATTTCCCCGCTCTCGTTTCATGATGAAAGGAAATCAAAAGAGATACGTAGAAATTGTTTCTAATTTCATTGGATATATGTTTTCATAGAATGCGCCAGTCAGTTTTTATCACTAAAGAAGGTTTAGAATAAATTAGATTATTCGAAGATACCTGAATTATTTTCGATCTAATTTTCAGCTTTTTTATATTTTATGGATAATAAATATGACTAAAACATTTAAATAATGAATAGAATACCGATATCCTATGATTCATTATTAACTAATTATAGACTACAGGCTACTAAGAGAATAGATTTTACCTATATAGAAATATTCATAAGAGTATGTTTTAAAAATCATTTTTCGAATTTTCAAAAAATGCTACACCTTTTTAGGTTTTCTTTTTTAACGCCGACATTTTTAAAGAATAAACAAATTTAAATTTAAAAGTACGCTTCAATAATAATTAGTATACAATTAACGCACAAATTTAATACGTTTATAATACGTACAAAACTGAGCATATATAAAACTATATATTATTTACGTTCAAATTTTACTTGTCTTTTTATTAATGATGCATATATGTTAAAACAAACTACTTTAAAAATGAATCACACATCTTATGAAGTCTGTGATGTGCTTTTTGTAGAGGAATTTTTTCCCTTTCTTTTCTATTTTTTTCCCCTTCTTTTACGTAAGGAAAAAAAAAGCCTAAAAGGCACATCATCAATTTTATAAACTTTTTTGATATTGTATAGGAATCTGTTGGCTTATGCTCCAATATTTTAAAGTCAAAATCGCTTCTATCCTTCAATTTGTTTATATATTTTCTATAAATAACCATCGTTAGCTGTTTCACCTTTCTTCTCTCTTGACAATCTTTCTTATTTTTTTCCCTCCTGCATATTTCTCCCAATGTTTTCAACAATGTCTTAGATCGTAGTTTTATTCCAACTTTTTTGTTATTTAACTAGTTTTGAGTTTTGTTTTATCGTTAGTTTTTGTTTTCTTTTTCGCATGTATTGTCTTATTTAGCCTCTTCAAAACTTTATGTATTATAATTTGTTATTTATTGTTAGTACTTCGTTTCTTTTCTATTTTGTTGTCGCTCTTATTGACTATTTTCATGTTCATATTGTATTTTTTTTTCTTTCAAACGTTTTGTACTCGTTGCTACTTTTTATATTTAAAAATAAATAGAATTCTTGCAATATAAAACAAAGTCGTGTTTTATAATGTATAGAATTATTGTCGTATAGTTTGAGATTGGCCTATCTTTTTTCATTTCTAAAATGTCGTCTCTTCTTCATTATATGATGTAGTGTTCCAAAGATATTCTATCAAATTCCTATCTTCTTCCTGATTTTCCTACTGGGTTAGCACGTTCGACGGACTTAGGCCTAGTCTACCTATCAACAATAAAATTCAATAATGGCATCATTGATACTTAGATCACTTCTTTTAAATGTGATTATTGAATAAAATTTATTTTATAAAAGTTCATTTCTGGTATAGTTTAGATTTCGAAATAGTATTTTTTTTTACATTATGTGTATAATTTCTGATTAAAGATAAATAATCATAATAGTTCCATCTATTTATCAGATTCTAGATACTTTCTCGCATAAAAACGTATTTAGATTTCAAATTAACGAACATTTCGGATATAAATTTGCATTTGAGTGAGTCTTGAGTACGGGATTTCATTATAATATATATATATATATAGGCCTATATATATATTTTTTTTTTCCAGCGGAAAATGAATATTGGATGTAATATTCAAAAGTGAAAATATTAGATTAAAAGTCATTTGTTAAAGGGAAATGTAGTAAACAAATATAGAAATAAGTTCGCACAACTACGCTTCCTCGTCATAAATATGAAAGGAAGTTAACTTCATTATACATGTGACAGGAAATGCGATAAAGTTATATAAAAACTCTCAGGAAGGAGGGAATTCGAACTCGAACCCAAACGTGCACTCACTTGTCAAATATATATATATTTAATATAGGCCTAAGTAACAATTTATATTGATTAAATTCCTTTAAATTAAAATTTAAAAATTGATTAATTGAAACTTGTTTGTTTTTTTTTTTTAATTTTAAATGTGTTTTTTAAAGTTAGAAAAAGTGAGGCCACATCTAGACATTTGAAACGTTTATTTGTTAAAAACGTCAAGCTAATAGAAAAAAAAATAAAATAAAAATTTAAAAGCATCTGATATCCTCATCTATCAATAATAAATATCGCATTACATAACACCAAGTAACGTTACGACGTGACATTTCTAAAAACAAAACAATAACATAACTTGTTTCAAGTCACGTCAGCAATCATCAATCCTGTTTCGTTTCTCAGTCACAAGATGGCGCTTAATTAGTCATGCTTCATTATTTCCAGAAAGGAGAAAAAAAATTAAAAAATAATTATTTTCTTTGCTTAGCAATAATCTTTTCCATAAAAAATAAAAATAATATTTACTTAGAGTAACGCCGATATCCGGTTTTCGTCGGCAACTTTTTAAAAGCGACATTGTACGATTGTTTTGTAAAGAAAATACCACATTGACATTATTCAAAAATGTCTTTTTACAATTAATTTTTATTATATTCTGATTTTTNTAAAATGAAAGAGAAACGAAAAATAAGAAATAATGAGTGATTTAAGAAACGAAATATAGAAGGCTATATTTATAAATAACTTATATATTTAAAGTTAAGAGCATTTCATTAGAATTTACAAAGTGTTTATCGCTTCAGAGAACTGGTAGAATATTTCTAATACAATTTTCTTGTATATTAATAAAATATGAGTAAAATATTTGGTTTTATTAATTTCTTATTCGACAATAAAAGAGATTTTGACGATTAGATGTATCATTAATTTCGTCAGATAACGATTCGCTAAGCTGAAACAAGATTGGGTCAGATAGTCTACAAATAGACGTAAAGTAAACAGGAAATTCGATTTATTGCACACAATATCTAAACTGAAATTTATTGTCATTTTCTTAAAATATAACAGAATAAAAGAATTACTTCAATTTGTTTTTCCGGTATTGAAATGGAATATTTTATGGCAATACGCAATAAAATTCTAAAAAATGTCTTTTTACAATTAATTTTTATTATATTCTGATTTTTATTTCTCTTCGAAATAACAGCTGTGCCTTAACGTATCGATAAATTTCGTTATTCGTGCGTCATATTTTTGAAAATATTAACCAGAATGCATTGCCTTTATTTAATATTTTTTCTCAAAATGTAAAAAAAAGAGGCAATATTCTTTATCGGTATCTGTTCATTAACAAAGGACAATCGAGTGAAAAAGTCGAATTTTTAGCAAGATCACGAACGTATTGTTTACACGTGCGTTCTCATTTCCTGTGGAAGATACCTGCCATAGATAAATATGCATTCCTTCTCTTTCAATTATGTCAACATCTTATTCTGAATATCGCCCACTTATATTACGCCCAGAAACAAGTCTTATGGGCATTAAAGTAGGCGGAAGGACCGCCTACTTCATTCAGACCTTAAATATCCTTGCTTTTTTACAAATAAACGATCTCTTTAAAAAAATGATTCAGTGTTTTCTGCGGTGAAATTGACGTAAGTTACCGAAACTCCAGACCAATATTACACTTAATAAACGGAAATTAATCATTAACCATTTCCTCTATTCGTACCCTTTGCACCGGTTCATAAAAACCAAAAAGAAAAAAAAATAAATTGAAATTCGTCGAGTCTGCGAGTAGAGGGAATATTCCCTATCTCTAGGGAAATTTTATACAGATACATTCACTTTAAAATGAATTCTTACGATATTATGGCACTTTGAAGTCTGTAAAATTGAAATACTTCGAATTTAAGATACTTTTATTCAATATTTGACATAAATAGTCGATAGCCAGGAAAATTTTTGTTAGGGAAATTATTAATTTTTTATATTATATTTTAAATTGGAGATTACTTTAAAACAACATTATATTATATAAAGTTTTAAATTTATTTTAATTAACTTTTGGCTTAATAACATAAAATTTTAAAAGCATTGACAGAATATTTTGTGCAACTTAGGGAAAATTTTTTATCGTTAGGGAAAGAACTTTATATTTCGTGTTTAGAAATATTTAAATCTATTTATTAATAAATATTTTACAATTAAGTAATAACATATTTTAAAATTGTTGTTTAGTAATATAAAAGCTCGTCGTACTTAGAATCATTCAAAACAACACCGAAAGGGAAATTTCCATTGAAGAGAGGGAAATAGTTCTCGAGACGGAGGGAAATTTTAAAGATAATCCACAAAAAGACCGAAAAGGTTAAAAAAGTAAAATGACATATAGTATTGTCATATGTGACGTGGACCAATAAGAACATTTGTGTGGAGGAGCTCGTGTTTCGAGGATCCTCTCCTTTTTTGGACGTTGTTTCCTTCCGGGTTGGACCGCCCAATAGAAAGTTGGACGTCAACGGAATTGGGCGTCGACACCACAGATGTTAAACGTTCTCGTTCAAATGTCTATTATTCTGTATCGAGTGTAGGGTTAAAGCTATTCGGCCAAGTTTCGAAATGCTAAGTGATTACGCACCTCCGTCTCTATAGCGTTTTACAAGTGCCAAACAACACGCAAAACAAGATTTGTTAACGTACGCGTACCATTAAGGGCGGGGGTTGCTCGACTCCCTTATTCTCTGCATGCTTACAGTGTGATCGTCAATCTAAGGATATACAAGAAACATTAAAAGGTTAGTATTAGTATTGACTAACGTTTAACAGACTAAAAGTTTAGATAAACTAAACTTGGCTCGGCTTCGTGTGCTAAATTTGGGATTAAGTAGGTTAAGAGAACATATCTTATGTAAGGTTATGCTACTTAAGTGTTCCATTTGACCATGATGTCATCCAAAGGAAATTCCTTATTGCATACTTATGTCCTATATTACCCGTTATTTTACTTATGTTTTTGCTTTATCTTTGCTTGATGATGACATTTATAACCATTGCTTTTGTGCCAGCTGAGTAATGTATGTGTTTGTAACCAGCTGTTTTTGCTGAAGGGAGAATTTCCATCATAAAAGTAATTTGATGCATTCCCAAACAATTGAAATGATTGGAATAAGAATTAAAAATCTAACACTGTTCTTATTTATAGAAAGCGAAAGATCCTTCTAAAGCTTTTCATTAACTAGAATTTTATCATGCAACTGGCCTAATTTAAGGTTTCTTAATGTTTTGTTCGACACCATAATAAATTTAGCCGAAATAAGTGTTTTGGATTGGAATTTATGGTTTTTTTTTTTATCCATACGTTACTTTACGCTCAGAGATATTGAAAGTAAAACTGAAAATATAAGTGTGATCATGGATAAGATTTAAATTTTGGGTTTGTCTGGTAGATAAATGCAAATGGCATTCTGCAGTGTTCTGCTTACAATAATGTTTCTTTATACTGTGTAAAAGTACTAACAAGATGTATTTACATTTTTGTTAATTTATAGCATTCTTTCAATAATTTATATTGAAGTGATTTGTATATTTTAAAAAATGACAAAAAATAATTAATTAAAAACAGATATTGACAGTTTGAATAATAATTAAATTCACACAAAGTTCACATTCAATTAATCATTCATAAAAGCAAAATCAATTTAACAAAATTTGTTATGTTTTGGAAGAAATGGAAAAAAAAAAATTCTTTTTAAATCGGGTAATGTTATTTAGTTATCGATTGTTAACATATTTTCTTGTTCTTTGTTTTAATAAACAAATTTAATGATTAAAAAAGTTAGTTTCCAACTTGTTTGATATTTGTTGTTATGAATTAATAGTATACAAGTGATTTGAGTCCTTGTATCTTTTGTTATGATAGCGCAATAAAGGGTATTATTAATCATTAAATAATGTCTGAACCATAATGGTTGCAGGTGTAAGAGTTACTGAAGCAGTTCCCATTGTTTACAACTTTATTTTTTGTGAGTAGCTTATTAGATCATGGAAGGGTGATTTAATACATCTATTTCATGGTCTAGTGCAATTTGAAGGTGTAAATAATAAAACTTAATTACTAAATGTAAAATCTATGAATTATTGCTAATGCATTTACGTGATTAAAAAAGCATTATTTAAAACAGCATGACCATTTTAGTTGTTTGAACATAAAGCAATTGGAGTGTAATACTCCAGCTGCTTCTTAGAAAGTCTAATACTTTCCAGGAAAGAGTTTTATTTGCTTAAATTCTTCTTTAGTTTAAGATGTTTTATTTAAAGTTAATTATAAGAAAATTGCTTATGTTTTGTTTATAAAAAATATATAAATACTTTTATTTGAAAATATTAAATATATATAGATTATACAAATATATATATTTCTTTGTTTCTGTTAGAAGAAATATATAACTATATAGGCCTATATATTTTAATGAAAATAAAGAAATAAAATATTAATATTTAAAAAATTTTTTTTAAATTTTGGAAAATGAATAACTAATTTATGCAATTGAAGTTTTATAAAAACGTTTTTCAATATATGAATTACACAGTAAGAAATTATCTGATAAAAAAATTATTCAAGAAAAGTATTTTTTGAAATTATAAATTTATATGAATGACAACGATAAAAACTGATAAAACCAGTTTAAAATGTCATTTGATTTTACTATATATCACTCCTACTTAAATAAATAAATTCTGTTATGCTTATCTTTGTTATTTGTTTTATATACCTTTACATTTAATTTGAAATTTTGCATTATTAATTAAAAAAAACCAATTTATTTAAATATGTTGTAATGATTTTCGAATCATAATTTAATGCGTCGGTTAACTTGCATGTCCATGTTTATTTTTTCTCAAGTATATTTAGTTGTTTACAATTCTATCTATTATGAAATCAATGCAATTTAGAGCACATCCAGTGAATGTTTTGATAACCTGTTTTATTTTAAAATTGACTTTACAACTGCATTAATAATTTATAATTATTGGATTAGCATCACTATTGACTTCAGAGTTTGACTGCTTTTAAGCCAGATACTGCATAGATTCTGCAGTAAATAGCAAAAAGGTTAAGTTTCCTTAACTTGTTATGTAGATCAACTTTTCAGGAACATGGGAAATGTTTTACTAGTGAAATAATTACACAAGAGACTGACCATAAAGGATAATGTTCAGTAGATATAAATAAAATTACTGTAAATTCAAAAATTAACTACTCATGCTGTCCCATTCCTGATTTAAAAAAAAAATGTGAGTGCAATCCTACTTATAACATTAAAGTTTAAAACAGATTTTTGTAATAAAAAAACATTATGAAACTTTCAGAAATATCTATATTGCTAAATAATTGCTAGAGAAAGAGAAGCATTGTGCCACTTTGCTTTATGTCAGAAGAAAGTACCCGTGCTTGCTTGGTACTGATACTGCTAGTTGTCTTATTTATTACCTAATTAATTTAATGATAAATGATTACATAAACCTGAACAAAATTTATTTGATACAATAAAATTTTCAAAACTAATACTTACAGCATGTGTTTAAAAATAATGATTGCTAAAAAAACTTCTTTTCAAAACAAATTTATTTTATAAATACTTCACTGTTCTTTAATCTTTAATAAAGATAACACATCATATTTATAAAATATATATATTTTTGGAATTATCAAATGTTATNAGTTTTGTACAGTATATTAGGCATAAATTTAGTTGCATTTTATGTTTTTCTAATTTAACATTTAATTTTTGTCATATTTATTTTATGATATATATAATTAAATTTTGAAAAATTCTGATTTCTCAAAATCAAAATGTTTAGATTTTGTATATGTAATGTATGTTTAGTTATCATAGAAAGGCTGTCTTAGTCAAATCCTAGATCAAATTCACTAATTTTATAAGATTTCTATATCACTCATTTTCTAATATATTTATTAAAACATCTGTAAGTATAACAATGAATACTATAAAAAAGTTATGTTTTATTTTTGTCGTCACAATAATAAATATGTATTATGATGATTGTGCAATTTTCCCTCTGTTTAATGTTTATGTATTCTTAATCATTCAGATATTTGCAGCATCAAATACTGTCTAAATAGTCTCATTAAATTTTTCAAAGGAATTGTTTAAATATATTGACTGCAGGCTTTTATTTATATGCATACAGTATTGAGCAAGAGTTTTAAAAAGCTCTGGAAAAATATAAAATATCTATCAATATATTTAACACTATACAGTTTGCAATTTGTCAATCTGTTATTTTTCTCTTATGTGTATTAATATTTATACTATTAATTCTTTGTAGTAATTTTTTTCTAATTTCTGAAGTGTCTGCATAAACAAAGATATAAATTTTACCTGAGATATTTATTATGACACAAATATTAACATGAAATTATTCAACAGTCTGCTACCATAAATAGAAGTGTTAACTGGATCAACAATGCTGTATGAGATCTAGAAATTTATAGTACATTGTCTGATTGTTATGAGACTGATACAACTTGGTAAGGTAGATAAAACTACTGATATCATTACAGTTCTAATATCTGTTTTAATATCAAGAAATGTTTTTATATCTCTAGATCTTGAACTGTTGAATAAACAATCTCCTTATTTTTTTTTCTTAATTAAATTTTTTCATTTAGTGTGACCAGAATAATTACTATTCTTTAAGGAAAATACAAATGTTCAGAAATTGAAATTTGTGATTACTTCCTGTATATAATCAGTCATTTAGGACATCTCTTCCAAAAATACTTTTAAACAAATGAATCATGTTAGAGCAGAAGTATTATGATGATGATTCAGATTATAAAACCTCAAGCCATCGTTTATATTTTATATTTATCAAAATTATGTATTGCATGAATCACATTATTTACTTAATTCTATCATTTAAAAGAACATCAATATTGATCATTTTCATTGCTGCTAAATATTGTTTTTTCAGGCCCAATATTATATATTTGATGTGAATATTTGTTTAACTAATATATTTATTTTCATTACTTTATGATAAATATATTTTTGTTAAAAATTAGAATTTTGTAAAATTAAGTTTTATTGAAATATCTTGAAAGTAACTTCTAACTCAAAAAAAAAAAAAACCACCAAAATATTTAATCTTTTAGAAACATTTTTGGACTATTTTAGTCCAGCATCAACATCTCAAGTATTTAAATTCTACAGATGAGTGCTGAGGATGGACTAAAATAGTCTGAAAAGGTTTCTGAAGGAATAGTTTGGTTAACTTAGTAGTTACTTTCAAAATACTTAAAGTATCATATTAATTCACTCATTAGGGCTTCTCTTATTATTTCATAGATAATTATTTTCCTGTTGTCTTACATAGCAGTTATTCTTTCTATTCAGTGGAAATTTACCACATATACAAGTTGAAATAAAATGTAAGAGCAATAGAAATAGCAATCATAAAAAGATTAAATAATAATAAGAAATGAATATGTTGAAGTTATATAAAATAAAAATGCATAATGGAATAATAATAAAGTATTGTATATTATTTGTCACTTCCAATCAACTTCATCAGGTGATAACCATAATAAGATAATCTTTCATTGAAATATGTCTTATCTTTATTTTCCTAATTTACAATTATTTTTAAGNATTAAGAAAAATTTTTATAAAATTTATTTTTGAAAAATATCTATATATATACATTTTTTTTATTCTTAAGATAACAAATATACCTGTATCCCTTCCAAAGGCCATTTTTAAACAGTCTTCTAATCTCTAATATTTTTATAAACATCTTTGATGTTATCAATTAAAAGAGGATTGTTGACAGCAAAAAATAAATGGTTAATCCTACTCTCCTAACTTAGAGAAGCTTCACTAACGTAGATGTATATTCTGGTATTAGTTTTCTAATGGTTGTGAAATATAATCCTTGTTTTGAATTTTTTGATAAGAAAAGTTAAGATGGGAATAGTAATTTTGAAACCATTACTTTCCATTATACTTTTTACCTTGAATTATGAATGTACATTAATTGGTATAGAAATTTTTTGATTTAAAAAAAAAAACATTTTAAGTGATTTAATATGATATTCTAAGTCACCTGCTATAGAAAAATATTGTTTACAACTTACTAGGAGCTCAATAATGAAATTATTCTTTTGTAACATGACTCTGCTTAAGTGTATTTAGTTGGTCAAATTATAAAGTAATTTTTCTGGTAATTGTTATTTAGACAATTACTGGAAAAATTTTGATTCCTATTTTGTCTAAACTAAACACTGATGCATTATGCTTATGAAGCTAAAAATTCAAAACATGTAAACAGTTATGCAGTTACAGTATTTATTTGTGCTCACATCAAAAAACAGATGATTCTAAAAATTTGGTTTACCATCTTATCCCTCATTCTGTATATAAATATCTCATCTGCTATACAATTTGTCACCATCTGTCACTAGAACATGGTTTTCTGACCCCATTTTTTATTTGAATTGATGACATTTGGCTTCTATTCTGATCTTTAAATATGAATAATTTATGGTCTTTAATTTTGAAATTTAATTCTGCTAAACTTTCTCTTAATTTGCATATCTCCTCTATATTTTTCTGCATATTTGCACACTAAACTACCCTAATTATTAAGATCATAAGATAATAGTTTTGACCTCCTTATTAAAATAATTTTGTATGAAGCAAGCAGACATTAAATTATTTTAATTGAGTTGTAACTCTGACTTAGATTCTTTTTTTATATGTAGTTTTTAAAAATAAAAAAAACTACAAGAGTTTCAATGATGATGTAGTAATGTGTTATTTTTAGATGTTACTGTTCTGTGGTTTTATTCATTGTCTTAATGCTTTTATAAAAATAAATGAGCAGTTATTTATGATGAAATATTCTGAAAATGAAAGAATTATGGTTGTTTATGATGATAAACATAAAATATACATTAAAAAGTAGTTTAATGTAGATATGGAATAAATTGTAAATAAATAGAATATACATGATGATGCTTACGTCAAGATGATTTGCTAATAGATAAAGAAATTTAAAGTAAAAAAATATTTTTAACTATGTACTGTACTTTTATATTTTAAAGTTTTTTGAAATGTTTTGATTAAGTTACATATGTTTGAGTTGATTCGTTTAATATGTGTATTGAAAAAAGGGGCAGAATTGAAGTTTTTTATTCAGAACCAGCAGTGAGCTAATGGATTAGAAAAAAGTTCAGGAAGAAATGTTAATTGATGTCAAGTGATAGAACCTTGATCTTTATCATATCTAAGAGCTTTGAAAAATAAAATACTATCATAATGATGTAAATTGATATTTTCATTGCTCTTCAATTTATTTTAAAATGATATATGTAATAGAGTTAAAATTTATTAAATAGTATGAACAATTTAGCTGTTTTCTATAAAATTCAAAATATTCATAGTTTTAAAAATAATGAAAATGTGGAATTACAATTACAATATAAATAGTTATAAATAAATTATTAATGTATTAACTTTTGATTAACAGAAAATCAAAATGATTGCCGATGGTTATTTGGTTGGGGATGGTTCGTGGGAACTGAGAGTCTACGTCACTGATCTTCAAGTAGAAAGGAATTTGAGAGTCAAAGGAGATCTTCACATTGGAGGTGTTATGTTAAAGTTAGTTGAAGACCTTGGTAAGTCTTATATTGTGTAATTTGATCTTTGATATTTTTACTTAATGGAGTTTTGATTATTGTTAAAGTTAAGAGAAGCAATCTTTAAATCAAAAATAAGTTTTTTTTGTCATAATTCATTTTTTTTATCAAACAATTTATTGGTTTTGTATATTAATACTTTATTTTAAACTATATATAAAATAAAATTTCTTTTATTATTTAGATAGCTTTTTTAAATATCACTAAATAAAGTAGAATCTGCTATATTTTACTTTTATTGATATGATATATAATATAATAATTAATTGAATTTGTCTAAAATCTTCAGATGTTGCCATCGACTGGTCTGATCATGCCCTCTGGTGGCCAGAGAAAAACACATGGTTGACGCACACCAGGTCAACTCTGGACCAGTGTGGTGTCCAGGCAGATGCAGTTCTTCATTTCACTCCTATGCATAAAACTTTAAGAGTACAATTGCCAGATTTACAGTATTTTGATTTAAAAGTAGATTTCTCAGTTAAAACCTTCGCATCAGTGGTTAATCTATGCAAAGAATTAGGTAAGTTTATAGTGAACAAACGATAAAGATCATAAAGACAAAAATTAATNCTTTTCATATAAAAATACATTTGTCAAGTTGTATAATAATTTAATTTTTTGATATAATGAGATATTTAGTGTATAATTTTCATAAATTATCTTAATTTGGACAGAAAGAAATATTTATAATACAGTTGTGTTTTGAATGGTTTATGAAGTATTGATCTATTAAAATTCCATTTGAAAAATTAAATGTAATAGTCTTTTATTGCAAAATTTAAACCGTCCATTAAGGACAAGCAAGACATTTTTACCTTAGTTAGTTTGACGAGCCACTCTCCTGTTGACCTATAGCCATAGGCTGTGTAAATTGCTTTATCATTAATTAAGTACCATAATAAATAAGTAATGACTTTTTATAATATTTGAAATTTATTAAACTTAAAAAATAATGGCCTCTAAATTACTTTTTATTAAGATAAATTGAGACAAAGTTAAAAAAAAAAAAGAAAAACCACTTGGCTATTGCAGTAAATTCAGCAGAGCCCAGTTATTGCTTTTAATATTATATGCTTTTGTTAATATATTAGGATGATAAATTAAGCCAGAGAAATAACATCAATGTCTGAGACTACGTTTTTGGTAAATTAAAAAGGATCATTAAGAGTTAAAGTAGTACATAAAAAAAGCTTTAAGAGCAACGAGAATGTCATGTAAAATTTTTAACCAATTGTATTAAAGAATATTAACTTTTTATTTTCTATGTCAAATGTTTTAATTTGACTATAAACTAACAAAATGTCCATAAGTAAGAAATTCCAACTATTGGAACATAACCAATTTTTAAATAAAAAAGTAATAATAAAATATTGATCTTTTAAATATGTGTAATATAATTGTTTTATATTTTTATAAATTACAATATAGAATAATTATACTTCTTGTTAAATTAAGAAAAATTTTTATAAAATTTATTTTTGAAAAATATCTATATATATACATTTTTTTTATTCTTAAGATAACAAATATACCTGTATCCCTTCCAAAGGCCATTTTTAAACAGTCTTCTAATCTCTAATATTTTTATAAACATCTTTGATGTTATCAATTAAAAGAGGATTGTTGACAGCAAAAAATAAATGGTTAATCCTACTCTCCTAACTTAGAGAAGCTTCACTAACGTAGATGTATATTCTGGTATTAGTTTTCTAATGGTTGTGAAATATAATCCTTGTTTTGAATTTTTTGATAAGAAAAGTTAAGATGGGAATAGTAATTTTGAAACCATTACTTTCCATTATACTTTTTACCTTGAATTATGAATGTACATTAATTGGTATAGAAATTTTTTGATTTAAAAAAAAAAACATTTTAAGTGATTTAATATGATATTCTAAGTCACCTGCTATAGAAAAATATTGTTTACAACTTACTAGGAGCTCAATAATGAAATTATTCTTTTGTAACATGACTCTGCTTAAGTGTATTTAGTTGGTCAAATTATAAAGTAATTTTTCTGGTAATTGTTATTTAGACAATTACTGGAAAAATTTTGATTCCTATTTTGTCTAAACTAAACACTGATGCATTATGCTTATGAAGCTAAAAATTCAAAACATGTAAACAGTTATGCAGTTACAGTATTTATTTGTGCTCACATCAAAAAACAGATGATTCTAAAAATTTGGTTTACCATCTTATCCCTCATTCTGTATATAAATATCTCATCTGCTATACAATTTGTCACCATCTGTCACTAGAACATGGTTTTCTGACCCCATTTTTTATTTGAATTGATGACATTTGGCTTCTATTCTGATCTTTAAATATGAATAATTTATGGTCTTTAATTTTGAAATTTAATTCTGCTAAACTTTCTCTTAATTTGCATATCTCCTCTATATTTTTCTGCATATTTGCACACTAAACTACCCTAATTATTAAGATCATAAGATAATAGTTTTGACCTCCTTATTAAAATAATTTTGTATGAAGCAAGCAGACATTAAATTATTTTAATTGAGTTGTAACTCTGACTTAGATTCTTTTTTTATATGTAGTTTTTAAAAATAAAAAAAACTACAAGAGTTTCAATGATGATGTAGTAATGTGTTATTTTTAGATGTTACTGTTCTGTGGTTTTATTCATTGTCTTAATGCTTTTATAAAAATAAATGAGCAGTTATTTATGATGAAATATTCTGAAAATGAAAGAATTATGGTTGTTTATGATGATAAACATAAAATATACATTAAAAAGTAGTTTAATGTAGATATGGAATAAATTGTAAATAAATAGAATATACATGATGATGCTTACGTCAAGATGATTTGCTAATAGATAAAGAAATTTAAAGTAAAAAAATATTTTTAACTATGTACTGTACTTTTATATTTTAAAGTTTTTTGAAATGTTTTGATTAAGTTACATATGTTTGAGTTGATTCGTTTAATATGTGTATTGAAAAAAGGGGCAGAATTGAAGTTTTTTATTCAGAACCAGCAGTGAGCTAATGGATTAGAAAAAAGTTCAGGAAGAAATGTTAATTGATGTCAAGTGATAGAACCTTGATCTTTATCATATCTAAGAGCTTTGAAAAATAAAATACTATCATAATGATGTAAATTGATATTTTCATTGCTCTTCAATTTATTTTAAAATGATATATGTAATAGAGTTAAAATTTATTAAATAGTATGAACAATTTAGCTGTTTTCTATAAAATTCAAAATATTCATAGTTTTAAAAATAATGAAAATGTGGAATTACAATTACAATATAAATAGTTATAAATAAATTATTAATGTATTAACTTTTGATTAACAGAAAATCAAAATGATTGCCGATGGTTATTTGGTTGGGGATGGTTCGTGGGAACTGAGAGTCTACGTCACTGATCTTCAAGTAGAAAGGAATTTGAGAGTCAAAGGAGATCTTCACATTGGAGGTGTTATGTTAAAGTTAGTTGAAGACCTTGGTAAGTCTTATATTGTGTAATTTGATCTTTGATATTTTTACTTAATGGAGTTTTGATTATTGTTAAAGTTAAGAGAAGCAATCTTTAAATCAAAAATAAGTTTTTTTTGTCATAATTCATTTTTTTTATCAAACAATTTATTGGTTTTGTATATTAATACTTTATTTTAAACTATATATAAAATAAAATTTCTTTTATTATTTAGATAGCTTTTTTAAATATCACTAAATAAAGTAGAATCTGCTATATTTTACTTTTATTGATATGATATATAATATAATAATTAATTGAATTTGTCTAAAATCTTCAGATGTTGCCATCGACTGGTCTGATCATGCCCTCTGGTGGCCAGAGAAAAACACATGGTTGACGCACACCAGGTCAACTCTGGACCAGTGTGGTGTCCAGGCAGATGCAGTTCTTCATTTCACTCCTATGCATAAAACTTTAAGAGTACAATTGCCAGATTTACAGTATTTTGATTTAAAAGTAGATTTCTCAGTTAAAACCTTCGCATCAGTGGTTAATCTATGCAAAGAATTAGGTAAGTTTATAGTGAACAAACGATAAAGATCATAAAGACAAAAATTAATGTAATATTATAAAGTTTATAATAGAAAATCTATTATAAACTTTGGTATTACTTCATAATAATTTACTCCTGCATATTTATATTTTATTAAATTTATATTAATAAATTTAAATTACCTGTATAATTTAAAATTCAATTTTAATGTATATTAGCTGCTTTATTTTTATTATTTAAGTTGTAATTTATTTATTTATATATTTAAAGATAAAATATTGATTGGAAAGATGAATAGTATACTAAACCTCTTCTTTTTATTAAATACTTTGTACCTGACAAATTCATTTAAGATTTTTGTGAGAATATGCAAATTTTAAAATGATAAAGTAAAAATTTTGAAAGATGAATCAATCAAATTCGATTAAATGCAAATTGAATTTCAAAGTCTGAATATAAATTTTGAATGGAAATATCAAATTCAATTATTTAAAAAAAAATTTTTTTTTTTTACTAGGACTCCGACATCCAGAAGAATTATCATTCTGTCGTCCTCTGATGCCTGAACATTTGAAGAGAAACTATAGGTATGTTGGGTGCAGTCCCCGTCAACGAATACAAGAGTCGAATTCTCCAAGGAACCCAAATTTGACACTTAATCAAAGTAATTTATCTGACTCTATAAATCCAGATGGTATCATACCTCCAGTGTCACCTTTAAATACGGTAAGGTTCGATCAAATATATATATTGAAGTTTTGAAATTTTTCAAAACCATATATATATCACAAAAATGTTTTAAAATCAATACCAGATTAGTATCATTTGTTTTTTTTAATTAAATTTTAATTTGAAATGTGTTACTTTAACATGTTTCAAAATAATACTTCACTAAATAAAAAACTTTTTCAAATGCTAGACTTGTTTTATGAAAATAAGTTCTGGTTTTACTTTTTACTTGTTATCAAATTTATGAAAATTATTCAGCTTCCTGAATGGTGGAACATATAAATATAATACAAAGCAAATTTGCAGAACATCAACAATAATTTATTTATGTCAGAAATTATTAGGTCAAACTACTCAATATACTTCAAAATATTGGTGTATAATCTGTCCATAAGTGAACATGTATACACTGTATAATGACATACACATCAATGTGCTTTCCAACCAAGCATGCTGATGACATGCTTTAAGTTTTGTTTATTTTCTATATAAAAATTATAGTATTCATTTTTGTAATTCCTGAAATATAGTTTGAATCTTAGCTTAAAATTATAAATAATCTAATCTTATCTTTCTTGCAAACATTCAATAATTTTTTTTCATATCTCCAGAAACATCAAATTTATTTTCAAACAAACATCTTTTTAATGTTTTAGAAACATTTTTTTTCAATGAAAAGTAAAAAATTATTGACAAAAGTTTTGTTAAAATAAATTTCTGAAGATTTATTCCATCTTTATCTTAATGTAAAATATATTATCAATTAGAATTTTTAATAATTTAATTCATGTTGTACAAATTTACTAGAGCTCTAGTTCAAGGAAAAGAAATTTTTGCAAACTAGAAATATTTTAAACTCTAGGAATTAATTATATTTTGCATTATAAGAATTTGGATTAAATTTTTATTCTGATGATATTTTCACTTTTTTACATTAAATTTAATAGTAACTGCTAGAAGAAATATTTTTAGAAAGATGAAAGTTTTTTCTATTTTGCTCTTTATATCTGAAAGTTTAATAAATATAATTCAATTTGTCTTTGTCCAATCTCTAAATGATTTGGTTTTATAATTACTTTCACCTTTTATTAGAATAATAATTGTGATTTAGTTCTAAGTTGAATTTATTGATTAAATCATATGTTTTATCATGTTTGTTTTTATATAAGTGAATCACCATTGAAAATGGCATACAGCCAAGAAAGATGCTTGCATCTGCTTTTCATTGAACAATGACCCAGTTCTCAAAAAAGATTTTTATGTAGTTCATAATAAAAATAAAATGATCAAACTTTAAATTTTATTAGTGACAGTTTGTATGTGTATCTTAATATTATTAAACATGTTTATTTATATACAAAGTCTGTTTAAAATATGAATCTGGGTGAAAATTTGTTCTTTGTCAAATATTAGAATGCATTAAAAATGAAGAAATTTGATGTTTTGTTTGATGTTAAGTAAAGAGCAAGTCTCAAAGACCTTTTTGATGTTTTTTTTGATAAAACATTTTTACAAAATTTTGTTGAATGTGTAACTTCATCAAATTTATTTGATGATATAAAGTTTAGCATTCTTTTTGATCTGTTGGATTTTTTGTTAGGATTCATATTATTTAGGATTCATATTTACATTTGGTTTGCATGTTATTTCATTCACAAACATCTTAAGTTATTATTAATTATGTTATATAATTTATTTGTGAAAAATTAGCTATTTATGTAGTTTTTATTTAATTTTATAATGATCAAATCATTTGTGAATATTAATCAGTTAAAAAAAAATAATTTGAAAACAATTAGTATAATTTTACATTTTAAACTTATTTAAAGTAATGTAAAAAAAGTTAGAACTTTGAGAAAAATTAAATAAAATTCTTGATAATTGTAGTTTTACAAGAAGTGCAATATCTTAAAAGAATTTTGGATCCATACTGCAAAATTTGCAAAAAAGTTAATTGGTTTCAAGATTCTTTTTATTTAGAATATGTGGAATTATTGATCTAATTTTAACTTGATAGAATATCATTCTTTACAAAAAAGTATTCAGTACTACTTACTTCATATCATCCATATATGGGAAAGAAAGAAAGAAAAAAAAAAAAAGCTATCTAAAGAATATAATGCTCTTTTGTCTAAATGATTCAGTGGAATGTTACTGATAGATTAAGTTTCAAAATGATAGATATTATCACACTGTAGCACATCTGTTGAAACTGAAAACGGTGAATAAATCAAATTTTTATCTTGAATGCTATTTATAATTGAATTATTGCATTTAATGCATTTTAAATATGTTGAGATAAATGTTCTGTGATGCAAATGTTTAATTTATGGAATAATTTCATTAATTGATATATATGGTATGTAATATGAAAGTAAACAAACCAAAAAGTTTTTTAACATTAACAATTTCATGTTCCATATTAAATAAAATATACTGTATATCTTAACTGACAAATATGTTATCATATATAACTTGTATTTTATTAATAAGAAATAGCATCTGATTTAGCTATTTATATTTGTTATCTAATTTTTGTCATTATCTGCTAATTTCTTCATTATATCATAAAAGATTAAATTTTGAATAGAATTCATAATCTTAACAATTATTCAATCTTTGAAATTCTTGACTATTTAGTCATAAGCCTTTAAGTAATAGCAGCTGATTACTCATAAATTTAGTTACCTCAGATTACCAAATTCTATTTTTGTGTTTTATACTTATTGAATCTTAAGTTGCATGTTTTTTTATATAACAAATTTAAATACTATTTTCTGTGCATTAATTTTATTATGATTTCTATTTTAAAATAAATTATATACTCACACATACACATATGTATATATACTAATAAAAAAAATTAAAACATATATTGTATAGTTTTAATATTTATAACTTAAAATTCAACTCTTTTCAGATAATATTTGTCCTTGATTTAAACTAGTTTTTCAGGAGTTCTCTTAAAAATGGATATCTGCCATTAATATGAGTTTTCCGAGCCAGGTACAAGTTATAAATGTTATCACTTTTTAATGAAAGTTATTCAGTTTCTTTAAAGTTGTATTTTGATTTATCATAAAAAAAGAAAAAAATTTAATATTTTGATCTATAAAATAATGGAACTTGATTTTTTTAATATATACAAATAAAAATACGTAAATTACAATATATTTAATTATGAAATTTTGTATATTATTTGCTTTGTGTAGATCATCAATATTCTGATTTATTGGTTACTTCATGTTGTAAATGAATCTGAGTTTTTACTAATTTCTCTAATATTTTTGTGAAATTATTAAATTAATTTTTATTAAAATTAAATTTAAATTCAAAAAGTATTCCTAATTTATGTTGAACCTTTGAATGATTTCCTTATATGTTCATAAACAGGAATCTAGTATTTTAGTTTTGTACAGTATATTAGGCATAAATTTAGTTGCATTTTATGTTTTTCTAATTTAACATTTAATTTTTGTCATATTTATTTTATGATATATATAATTAAATTTTGAAAAATTCTGATTTCTCAAAATCAAAATGTTTAGATTTTGTATATGTAATGTATGTTTAGTTATCATAGAAAGGCTNGGTCTGTTTCTCTCTCTTCTTTAACACCTGTCAGAAATGACGGGCAAGGGTGTCATTGTAGAGATCATTGATCCTGTTGGCCTCAGCTCTGGATAATGAGTGTTGATAAACTCCTAAACCTCTCCCCGTTTGACAAGGAACTTTTTGTCAACTTTCACTCTTTCTGATGATGTCTTGCTTTGTTTCAATTCAAATCACCTTTATGTTTATTTAGAAGCCATGATTTTCACAACACTTGAATAAATGTAAATACCCTGTTCTGAGGTGATGTACGTAATAAACAAGAGAGCAAGCTGAATCCCAACGGGAGCTCTGTACTTCAGATATGCTAATAATATATTTTAATAATACTAATATATTATAAAAATAGCAGATTGTCATTGGCAACGGCAAAAGAGTGGAAACATCATTCGCACTTGTTCGCAGAAAGACCGTTTTTTGCCTCACGTAACTGCCGAACGGAAAGTCCGTTGTTTGAAGACAGTCCGTTGCTCGACTCACGTAACGGCCAAACAGAAAGTCCGTTGTTCGCAGCATCCGTTATTCGAGGCGTACGTTATACAAGGCACCACTGTAATTACTAATACCATATTTTTGTGGATTGATTGGCATGTTGCATATAACTGCAACTAAAAAATAAAACCAGTTGTTAACTAAATGTTAAAGAAAACAATCTTTTCAATACAATAAAATAACAACATTGTAATTTGACTGACAGAAGAAAGTTTTCATTTACAGGGCAATAAAACTCAGCAGCTTATTGACAGTTGTAGTAGTGGTTGTTGTTGTTGTTGTTAATTAGTGTGGACTGTACTGACAATCTATCCTGATCCTGAAAGATAATCAAATTATCTTTTAGGATCAGGATCCAGATCAAATTACAATAAGATAAACAGAAAAAAGCATTTTTGACATTCATGAGTATTTTATATCGTTAGAAAGGAAGCAAAATGAAGAAATTAAACATGATCATAATTTTCATGTAATACTGACAGTTTCACAATTTTAGAATAAAAACTGGCATCTGTTCAGGTGCCCTTTAGAGGGGAATGTATAACCTCACTTAAACTGGCATGCCAATTTTTACCACACAGAAATAATTGATTTCATGATCTTCTCCAGATAGACTGACATGCTGGACAATTCATGAAAATATGGTATGAGTTTAGAAGTTGTCATCTGAAGCATAAAAATATTGCTTTTTCTGTTTAATTCCTGTTAATAAATCATTGTAGATATATATGAACAACTAATTCCAAATATTCTATAGTAATCATATTAATGTTCAGATTTAGATGGAATTGTATATTTTAGTGTGACCATTTTGGCATGGGGATAATTGGGCACAAGAAAAACTTTCTCAATTAATTCGTCATTTGACATTTGACATCAAAGTTATTGTAAGA